AGCTTGTCACAGGAGGCAAGTTCCTGAAGGGCTTTGCCTGTGTTCTTCCACATTTCCAAGCTGTTGCTCAAATCAAAAGAAATGGCCCCGAGGAGGCTGCAGAGGGAGACCATGCATGCTGTCAAAATCCTTTGAACTGTTTTTCTACCACCAGCATTAGAAGAGGGAAAACACCTAAAAAATAAAAAAGAATTTAAAAAAAATTAAATTAAAAAAACGGTGGCATTGTCTGATCCTGAGAATGTTTCTTCCAGCTCCTGAAACCAGTGGAGCTGGTTCTTTATATAAAAAACTGTGGTTTTTTATATATCACTAGCAGTGATATTTAACAAATCCCATGCATTCTGAAACAAAGCAAAAGGAGCATACATTATCTGGATGGTTTTTAAGATATATTTTATTATATTTTGTTCCACCTCATGTTAATTTTAAAAGAAAAGCTGTATTTAGAGACTGCTTCCTTGACACACTGTGATCTGAAGAACCAGATGAATGATACAGTTTTTCTGTGAGAAAAAAAGCAAGTAAACCATTTTCTGTAGATTTTATTCTCGGTGATACTTCTCTCCAAATTTTAAGGAAGGTCATGAAAATATAAGTTACTTATTCCCCCAGTGATTCCAGTGATCACAAACTGGAACTGTTGATTTTTTAAAATCAGATTTTGAGAATTTGTTCTTAATAGGCATTTCCATATGGTGATTAATTACTGTTGATATGTTCAAATGAGCTCAGATGTTTTTTACAATATTTGCTATATATTTCAGATGGGAAATTAATCACATTTATATTTTCAGCTTTTACTGAAGCATTTGCACATCTAATTTTTATTCTTTGAGCTTCATGATTACCTTTCTGTCTGTCTTTCCTACTGCACATAATGGACATCATGCTCCACACAACAAAGTGACCTCTAATGATTTTAATTTTCAAAACTATTATTCCATCATTAACAATCTTACTCTAATGATACTCATGGAAAAAACCTCAGGATGTTGTGCTGGAGCTGATGACTCCTGAATAACTGGGTAATCCTTATTTCCACTGGTAAAGAACAAAGCTCTGCATAGTAAAGCTGATTGAAAAAAGCCCTCCTCAGATCCCCTGTTCTTTCAGATATAGGAAATCACACTTTTAGTCAGGCAAATAAAATCCAATTAAACATATTATTTCTCAGCAGAGGCTGATATCAAGCAAAACAAATTCTTGCTGGGCAGAATGGTTATCAATGGTTGTAAAGTAGAAGAAAAGCGATAACAATACTGTCCCCAAAGATGATAAACAGCCATGCTTTCTCTTGCTAATTTAATACAATTTCTGTTTAATAATATATTTACTTTCAGTCCAAAGGTTAACATCTGCAAAACATCAAACTAAAAGGGACTGCAAGCCTAGAAAATGTATCTCTGAGGATTTCTGTCCTCACATCAAACTTCCCACCTTTTCCTTACTCTATCTCCTGCTTTAGGTCACTTGCCCTCCATTTATAATCATTCCTTTTACTTTTGAAAACATCTAGTACGTGCTGGGGGGAGAAGAAAACCACAACAAAAACCCACCTTGGTTTTATACTGCCTAGAAAGAATTATTAAGAGGGTCTTTAATTGAGTTTATTAAGAATAATAAGAAAAGCACAACAAAAACCCACCTTGATTTTATACTGCCTGTCTTCTACAACAAAAGAAATATTAAGAGGGTCTTTAATTGAGATCTGTTTCTCACCCAAGATAGCTCAGCTACCTTTAGAGGCATAAAATCAACAGGATGGCTTCTGTGGTAGTGTTGGAAACAAAAAAGTTTAATAAAAAGTAAAATAACAAACTCTTTACAGAAAAAAACCGATCTAAGTGCAAGATCCCTCTTGCCTCTATTAACACACCTCACAAAAGCAGTTAGTTTCTTTGCTCTCTTCTTTTTCTAGTAAATTGCCTAAGCAAGACTTTTTGGGTCCTGTCCAATTAACTATCCTTAAGTTTGAAGTGAAATCACAGAATCCCAGAATGATGAGGTTGGAAGAAACCTCTGAGATCATTGAGCCCAACCTATGCCCCAACACCTCAACCAGGCTATAGCACCAAGTGCCATGTCCAGGCTTTTTTAAACACATCCAGAGATGGTGATTCTGCCACCTCTCTGGGAAGAGCATTCCAGTACTTTATTATTCTTTTGATAAAATATTTTTTCCTAATATCCAACCTGTACCTTCCCTGACATAGCTTGGGACTGTGTCCTCTGGTTCTGTCAAATCCCCCAAGCCTATGAAATGCCTTTTCCACCTAATCGAGGGGAAAAAAACCACCAAACTTCTGAGCTTATTTCCTTTTTAAAAAGACAAAAAATTAGTGTTGTCACTCCGTCAACAAAGAACCCGTTCCTACAATTCTGCTTTGCCAAACCCCCAGGTTTGTGCCAGCATGGCAGCTGACAGTGCCCACTCTGAGCTGAATGACTAAAAACGGAGCTGAATTCTTCACCTCAATGACTAAAACAGGAGCTGAGTTCTTCACCTGAATGACTAAAACAGGAGCTGAATCCTTCACCTGAATGGCTAAAACAGGAGCTGAATTCTTCACCTGAATGGCTAAAAAAAGGAGTTGAATTCTTCACCTGAACGGCTAAAAAAGGAGCTGAATTCTTCACCTGAATGACTAAAAAAGGAGTTGAATTCTTCACCTGAACGGCTAAAAAAGGAGCTGAATTCTTCACCTGAATGACTAAAAAAGGAGTTGAATTCTTCACCTGAATGGCTAAAAACGGAGCAGCAGGGCCATGGGGGAGACAGGTCAGCCCTCAGAGCTGGCTCTGGCTGTAAGAATCCGTGGCTGGAGGGGCTGTTTTGGGGAAAAAGGGGAAGATCGTGTGGTGATAGGATACAAACCATGCGAACAGCGCCAATTACCAAACACCAAGTGCGAACAACTAAATAACTATTTAACTCTTATTTATACAGCACCTTGCCCTTGCTGCCTTGTAGATGCCAGGTATAAAAGCTCTGGGAAAGCATCGCACTCACCTGCAGGGACCTGCGGGCTGCTCTGCCGCCTTCCCTCCGGGCATCCCCAGCTCCCAGCCCAGCCTCAGGCTCCTGCTGCTGCCTCCAGCCCTGCGGTGCCTCCCTGCACCTCCTCCCGAGCCCCCGAGGTGTTTCTGGTGATGCTCTGACTCTTCCCCCTGCCCACCCTCTGCAGAGGGGTGTCAGAGCCCAGGACATTGCTCTGGCTGCCCTGGAGGACTCCAGACCCTGGCAGGGGCTCAGGGACCTTGGCATGGAATCAAAAACACCTGTGCCTTTGATTCTAACCCATGGAAACAATTCCCAACTTTGTGTGAGGATTTACAAGCCACAAGAGGTTGAGGAGGATGAGAGTTAATTTGTCACAGGGTGAAAAAGTAGAAATTTGGGGATTTAGAATGGGGGTTCAAGAGGCAAGATGGAGGAATCTGGATGTGTCCTGTCCTTCTTCTCCTTCTTCTTGTCCTCCATTTTCTGCTGTGATGGTGGCACTTTTGGATTGGTTTAGAGTAGAGACAGACTGTCTGACATGGGTGATAGGTATTGGAAAATTATTGTAAATAAAGCACATGTAGTTCTTAGTATAAAAAGCCAACACCACCCCAAGGACAGTCAGTGTGCCACAAACTGACCTGCCAGACAGATCTCAGCAGGTCAGAGAAAGAATGGAACAGATAAGCAAAAAATAAACAACCTTGAAAGGCAGAACTGACGAATCTCGACTTCTTCAAGCACGGGGCTGGGAAAAAAGACTCTTTAATATCTCGGGAGCCATTTCAGCAATAACAAACCCAACAGAAAGAACCTCACACAGCCTTCTCCTCCCTCTCCCTGGGTCTGCCCAAGGCACTTAGCAAGCAAAGAGCTGAAATCACAAAAGGAGCTGATAATCACTAGAGCTGATATCACCTAAGCTTGCTAAGGTAGCCTGAGGCTGGGAGCGGCCTGGGAACCCGAACAGGCTGTGCTGAACAGGACTGTGATATCCTGACCCCCTTGCAGCCTGCCAGGGATACCCCTGGGAAAAATGCACATTTTATGATTGGCTTTTCGCAAATATTAAAATGAATATGATATGTGTTATGTTAGAAACCTTTGCTGTGTTAATTTTCTTAAGTAGTGTGTTAAATATAGTTTTAGGTTATAACAAAATGTTGGAATAGAAACTGTGCTATGCAGGATACTATTTTCTAAAGAAAGGACTCACAGTGAGATAGCAGCCACAGGACACCTGAATCTTTCAGAGAAAGAGAATTTATTGCTCCATTATCAGGCAAAACAAATTTCTTCCTGCCTCGCTCAGTCCTGAAGACTCTGTCAGGATTCAGAGGAAGAAGCTGACACTGCCCAGACAGAATCCTGTTTGGATGGAATTTATGTGTTTGGATGGAATTTATGCATCATGGGTGAGGTGTATGAATATGCAACAGGCTGTTGCTTTTAAGGGTTAATCCTCTGTTAACGTGGGTCCTTTTTCAGGCTTATTTTGCCCAGAAAGAGGTACCTGGACTGTCCCTAACTCTTTGTTTTTATTGTCTCGTATTGTCCTAATCTAAATTGTCCAAATTATTATTATTGTAATTGTATTACTATTTTTATAACCATTTCATTACTATTAACTTTTAAAATTTTAAAACCAGGTGATTGGCGTTTTCCACACCCTGAAACCCAGCGGAGGCCGCATTGAGGTGGGAAAAGCTCTGTGTGAAAGCATCACTCCCACACTCACCTGCACGGACCTGCTGCCTCCTCTGCTGCCCACCCTCCACAGAGGGGCTCACACCTTCCCCCAGGTGAGTCTGGCAAGCTCCAGCCCGAGGTAGGGGACAGGGAAAAATACCCAGTGTTACCCCCAGAAACAGGCTCTGGGCTTGCCAACAGTCAGGAAAAAATGACAGAGACGTTTTGTTTTCACCTTGCAAAAATTACAGTTTATTTAACGAGCATTTGGTTTAATATCTGTGTTGTTAAAAGTGTAATTTGCCAGGTTTTTTTGATCAAAGGTCCTTTGGTATCTCCTCCAGTTCTCAGTGGATTAGTTGCTTGCCATAACCTACAAAAATGTAAAACAAGAGAAAAATCAGATCATGAGCTGCAGGAATTTGTGAACAGTCTGTGCTGTGTCCAAGTCACAGGATTTAAATAAGTGAAATAAGATTTTTGCTTCTCAATCAAAATTTATATTAAATTAAAAGATGTTTGACATTCCAGACTTGAGCTGCATGTGCTACCTTTTTAGGGTGCAATTGCATCAGTGTATTGATGAATGCAAATTTGAATAATCACTTCTGAAATATATGGTAAATCTTTATGACCACAACAAAGCTCTAGGATAAAGGGAGAATGCATTCCTACTATCAAAACTTATTTGAATAAGTGAAGAAAAATTTGATATCTGTTTCAGAGGAGGATACTCTCGATTGGTCATGGTTGAATCGGGCGTGACACAGCTCCCTTAGCAGGGGGCAGAAATCCCAGTGAGAGGGCCCCAGCACAGCCAGGTTTGTGGATGTCACCCTGGTTTTTTAAAGTTTTTCTGCAGCTCACCTGTGCAATCCAGCTGTTGTAGGCAGAGACCCTGGTGAACACAGAGGGTTTGTGGTAGTAGTTGCAGCTGAGAGAGGAGCCGAAGCTGACGATGCCGTGCACTTCCCAGGTGCCATCAGCCTTCTGGCAGTTCAGGGGGCCACCAGAGTCACCCTGGCAGGAAGGGGAACAGAGTCAGAGGGTGAGCAGCTCCCTCTGTGGGGTTTTTAACCTTTCCTTCCCATCAGGCCTGTTTGCTCAGGGTCACCGCATTTCTCTTCACAGAGAAAAGCAAGGCACGATTCTTCCCAAGAATATTTCTGGGTTTCACATTCTCTGAACCTCAGAGAAAGGAAAAACAATTCTTATTTGCTGTGCCTGTGTTTGTGCCAAAGTAGGATGCAATATGGAGATTGTTCACCCACAGTGATGGGGTTTTGTTCCCTTGGCCTGTCAGGGACAGGTGTGGGTGTGTTGGGACTGTCACTGACAGTCTTGGAATTCTGTGCAGTTGTGTGCAGAGTTAAGTGCTTAGCAAATTCAGTTTAGATCTAATGTAATATAATATAGAATAATATAGTATAATAAAGTAATTAATTAGCCTTCTGATAAGATGGAGCCAGATGCATCATTCTCTCCCCTCGTTAGGGATCCCAAATTCAATAATCTAAACCCAAGCCCTGAGAGTGGACTCACATTGCAGCTGGAGGTGATTCCATCCCCACCAGCACAAACCATGGTGGGTTTCACAGTCGTTCCCCACCAGGAAGATCTGGAGCAGGTGGCATAATCCACCACCAGCAGAAGGCCTTGCTGCAGGTCATCAGGAAGGGGTCCATTAGCTGAGAGAGAACAGAAACACAGGGCCATGGCATTGAAGGGAGAATAAAACTGCTCTGCTAAGTGGTGTCTGGTAAAGGTAAAGCACTCCAGGTAAAGCACTCCATAGGGGCTATATTAAAGGAGAAGCTGTTATAGGTATGAATGTCCCTTAGTTCCATTCTTTCATATACACCTTCACTTACTAAAAATTTGCATTTCATTAAAAAATGTCTCATTGTTAGAGAAACAAAGAGCTGCTCTATTTTCAGGAGTTTGCAATTTACTTATCCCTCAAGGAATTGCCTCCTGAGCCAAGCTGAAACCTCTGCTCAACTCTGAGAATTTCTTCACTTCACATCTATTCCCTTGTGTGCCTTCAGATATTCATCAGGTGTGTTGGGATTGGCAAATGCACCTGTCTGCACACTATTAACATTTGCATTACAATAGCTCCTAAAAGCTCAATAAAGGCCCCTCAGGTGCATTACCAGCTCTGTTACAAGGAAAATAAATTTCAAAAGGAAAAATCATAGTGTGTGAGTGAAGTGGGGCCTAATATAACAAACTACCTCACTACACTGAGTTTTGAGGGGATCTTAAGCACCATTAATAATCTTTGCCATCAATCTCAGATGAGAAGCAACTTCTGAAAGGTGTTTTTTTGTTTAATTTCCTGGTTTTGCAAATAGCCAAGTACTCACTCTGCAGTCTCCCCCAGCCAGTGACATAGCAGGGAGTGTTGGAGGACAGGATGCTCTGGGCAGGGGGCAGGCAGGCCAGCTGGATGTGGTCACTCAGGGTGACGTGCTCAGAGAGTTTGATCAGAGCAATGTCGTACCTGTGGGGCAGAGAAAGGCAAGGTGAAAAGGTTTCCAAAATGGATTAGGACACAACAGCCTGAGTGCTCAGCAGTTACACAGCTCCTGGCCTATGTCACTGTGAGATTTTCTGAAAAATCCCTTTGCCAGGATTTCTTCTCCTGGGAAGTATAGAAGCCTCAGAGAAAAATGTAAATAATAATGATCTGATTGCTTCTCCTGTGTTTGCTGCTTTGGAATGTGGCTGGGGATTGTTTACCAACATGATTGGTTCCATGTGAATTATTTTTAATTAACTACCAATCACCTTCAGCTGTGTCAGACTCTGAGTAGTCAGTCACCAGATTTCCTTATCATTCTTGTTAAACCTTCTGTCTGTATCCTTCTCTAGTATAATTTTAGTATGGCATAATATAATATAATATAATATAATATAATATAATATAATATAATATAATATAATATAATATAATATAATATAATATAATATAATATAATATAATATAATATAATATAATATAATATAATATAATATATCAGCCTTCTGAGAACATGGAGTCAAATCCTCATCTCTCACCTCATCCTGAGGACCTCACAAACACCACAGGCCTATTCCAAAGAGAAGCAAGGGAGCAAAGGCCAGTGCACAAACAGCAAAGATTCCTGCACCCCAAAGCAATTCCTGGGAAATCCATGGGCTGGAAGGCTGTTCCCTGCAGAACTGCCTGTTTTTCTGATGGAAGAGAGCTGTCTTTTATAGGTTTTTTTTCACCAAAACCAAGCATATGTTAGGACTCAGTCCAAGGACTGGAACTGAGGGGATTTCTTTGTTACTGCCCTTAGCCTGCAGCAGGACACGGGGGTCCCTCAGCCACATGGACTTTGGTGATCCATGATTCTGGGTCTCTGCTGCTGGTAGGAGGGCCTCAAAGATTGCTGGATAAAATGCTTCATTCCCTTGCATTGCAGAAGAGATATCATTGTATGTAACAGCTTCTGACCCAAGCATGAACATGAAAATGGCTTCTGGAAACATTATTAATTAGTAAAAAATCAATATTGTTAATTGCTTTGTATTCTCTTGAGGGGGAAGGTAGAAACTGGACACTGTAACAGGAGGCTCTAAACATGAATTTAATGACCATAACTCCAGATGGGTGGGATTCAGGCAGTTTGATTTTTACCCTCCACCTAAAAACTGAAAAAATACCTTCCACCAGCTTACCCATTTGCAACATTGTTTGGATTCCAGTAGGGATGAACAACGATCTTTGCTGGAGAAACTGCAACTGATCCTTCTTCCTGAGCTGCCAGGTTGTATTTTCCAAGAAGCACTTTATAGGTCAGAGTAGAACTGGGCAAGAAAAGGATGAACACTCAGTTGTGCAGCTGCACCTTTGGCTCCTGAGGGATTCAGTAAGAACACTCCTGACTGTAATCTCTCAGCACAGGCAGGGTTTGTCTGGAGCTGAGCCAGTGATTTGCTGAGGGCAAAGATTGTGCTCTAGACTTGAGAATCATTCCATCTCTGAGCTGTCCTCTCAACTCCTGCTCAAGGCTTCTTGAACACATTCAAGGTGCCTCCAATCTTTGCAATATTCAGCTCACATTCTTCAATGCAGTAACAAATTTGGACTTTTTTTTAACAGCTTCACTAATAAATAACTGTGTGACAGATATAATATGCAGTATTTATAATAATAACATGCAGCCAATCCTTCATGTTTCATATTATATATTTATAATATTTGCTACAGATTAATGTTACAATAACCCCAGAGCAAAATGGGGTTGTATTTGTGGAAGCAGCTTTGATGACATTTCTGTACCTGATAATTTATTTGTTACACTGCCACACGTTATGAAGAGTTTATGAAAATTATTGGTATATTCAAAATATTTGTGATTATTTCTTCAGGGAGTGGATTGATTAGTTAACTTGTGGATCTCACTGACACATATTACAGAAACAGGCAACATAGCTGAATTTTAATAGCAGCTTGAAAACAGAAAGATGTTTGTAGTTTGTTTATGGAAATGAAGAATATGTAATTCAGGTAACTGGGGGTTTTTTCCCCTTTTACATTAAGAAAATAAAAAGATATCATTCTCCTGACTTTTAAAAAAAGATATGATGCAAAACTCAGAGCTTGCAACTGGGAAATGGAGAACTGGCATTGATGTGGTTTTCACTCATCTCTTTCAGCTCATGTGCTTCTTCCTGGGTCAGATTTACCTTCAGCACTCACCTGATGCAGTGGGCAGCTGTCATCACCCAGTTGGTGGCAATCAGGGTTCCCCCACAGGTGTGGCTCCACTTGCCATTGGCATTGTATTGAAGGGAGACCTGGGATTGAAGAACCAGGTAAGGCTCAGGCTTTTACTCACTCACTTTTCATCACTGTGCTTTGTTCCTGCACCCAGAGCACAACTTGCTGATGGTGGAAGGCTTTGAAGTTCCCAACTCCTGGCCACAGAAAGGTTTTCCCTCCTTCCCTATCATCCAAAGCTTGATTTTTAAAATACATCTTGCTTAAATAGCCCAAGTCTACTTGACTTAAAATGAGAGCCTGCATGACTGTCACAGCACATGCTGCAGTCAGTAGGGCCACAACACAGAATTTCAGAAGATTTAAGCTTTCTCCCATGTCAGTAGGGCCACAATACAGAATTTCAGAAGATTTAAGCTTTCTCCCATGTCAGTAGGGCCACAATACAGAATTGCATAAGATTTAAGCTTTCTCCCATGTCAGTAGGGCCACAATACAGAATTTCAGAAGATTTAAGCTTTCTCCTGTGTCAGTAGGGCCACAATACAGAATTTCAGAACATTTAAGCTTTCTCCTGTGTCAGTAGGGCCACAATACAGAATTTCAGAACATTTAAGCTTTCTCCTGTGTCAGTAGGGCCACAATACAGAATTTCAGAAGATTTAAGCTTTCTCCTATGTCAGTAGGGCCACAATACAGAATTTCAGAACATTTAAGCTTTCTCCTGTGTCAGTAGGGCCACAATACAGAATTTCAGAAGATTTAAGCTTTCTCCTATGTCAGTAGGGCCACAATACAGAATTTCAGAACATTTAAGCTTTCTCCCATGTCAGTAGGGCCACAATACAGAATTTCAGAACATTTAAGCTTTCTTTCATGCCAGTAGGGCCACAATACAGAATTTCAGAACATTTAAGCTTTCTCCCACGTCAGTAGGGCCACAATACAGAATTTCAGAACATTTAAGCTTTCTCCCATGTCAGTAGGGCCACAATACAGAATTTCAGAACATTTAAGCTTTCTCCTGTGTCAGTAGGGCCACAATACAGAATTGCAGAAGATTTAAGCTTTCTCCCACACTCAGTAACATCATTCCACAGCAGAAGGCTTCAAGCATCTGCCCATACACAGTAACACCATTCCACATCAGAGAGCTTCAAGTGTCTTGATCTTTAGCCCAACATTTTACCCCCCTCATGTCCATGCATTGCACCCCTCTGTTCCCTTTGGTGGTTTGTCAGTCCCTGGGCACTCCATGGCTCACTACCTTCAGTGCTGCTCACCTGCTTTTCACAGCAGCCCCACTGCCAGTGACCACAAACTGGGCACCTAAACATTGCCAGCAAAATGCAGCACACTCAGAGCTTTTTTCAAGAAGACTGGAAGGTTTAGGATTGATCAGAACAGAAGAGTCAAAAGGCGTCAGGCAAGATGCACCAAATGGAACTGAAGGGGTTTGTTCAGTTCAGTTGTGCTGTGCAGACAGAGCACAGCCCCAGCTGTTGCAGGGAAAGCACAGAATCACCAACCTGCCAGGGCCAGCTGTATGGCCTTGCATTCTCCCCTCCAACCACTCTGGACACTAAGGGTGGGTAGGCAGGAACCCCGCAGCCGAAGGCTGGAAGACATAGAAATAGAATGTGTGTTCTGAAAGAAGGTTTAGAAAAGTATCTGTAAAGTATCAAACAGCACAGCACCCAGTTACTCTTTCAAGAGACCCTTCTAATGAACACCCTCTGCTGTATTCTTTTCTTTGATGCAGAATGTTCAATTTGTCTAAAAAAGGCAAGTTTGGTTTAGATTTTAATTAACTTGATTGTTTAAAATTAAAGCAGAAGTTGGACACGTACCTGCAGAGGCCAGAGCCAGCACAGCAAAGAGGACTCCAAGCATGGTGCCAGTTCCTGGGTGCCAGTTCCTGGGTGCTGTGGGCTGCAGGCTCAGCTCTGTGCCATTTTATATGGTGCCCTCAATCTCTGGAACACATGACTTTAGATGCAGAGCTGTTCCAATACTAATGGAAAACTTGTATCACTGTGGGATAATTCTTTATGTACATAAAATCCTCATTTAGGTGGACCTTGGATACAGGCTATATAAACAATTTAGTTAAAAATAATTCTAATTTGATGCTTATTATCTGTAGCAGCTGTGTGCATTTCCATTGCCTTGAAATTTCATCAAAAGGTGTCCACAGAAGGACAATGTTAAATTAATAATTCTAACACTTGGTGATATGTCAGCAGTAAGTGCCTGATCTGTTGGGACAGTGATAGAGTCAGATGTGTGGGTGGAGATCAGCATTAGCTGATCTCTAGAGGCTCCCCTCCTACCTTGGTTATTGTACAATTATACAACTCCTTGGGATTTTATTTTGGTTTGGGGTCTTGGTTTGCTTTTGTTTTGTTTTGTTTTGTTTTGTTTTGTGTGTAACTGAATGGTATCTACCACATTGTACTGACTGAAAACCTGTCTTTTCTTTCCCAGATCAAGTTGCAATGTGCTTTAGCAGGCCAGACTTCTCCAGCACACCAGACTTTAACCACTTTGAAGTGGAACTTCAAGCTTTGAAGCAATACTTCAAGCCATGCAAAGAAACAGCTGTCCATGATGAAGCTGAAATCCTGGTATGCTGTGGTGAGTCAGACTCCATTCCTTCCCTATTTCCCTTTGTTAGATCAGCAGCCCTGAAGAGAACAGGGTTCCTGCAGCATTGCAAATGAGCCTGTGCACCCCCAGAGCAGAGCTGGAAAACACTGTGAGCTTGTTCATGAGAAGAGCAAAGCACTTCCACTCACAGGACAAAGGCATTGACACCACTCCAGAGATGCTGCCACAAAAAGAAGTGTCCAAATTCATTACTGACATTTGAGATCAGTGACTGGATATCAATGCTTTCCCTTGACCCTTTTTTTCTTTTTCTTTTTATCTTCTACTACAGGAATTTTCCATCCTCTGTCACCTTTCCATCCACCATCACCTTTCCATCCACCAACCATTCTCTGGTTATTTGAAAAACAAACATCTCCATCCCATAAACCAGGACACTCATCATAGGGAACAAACTTACTAGAATGGAAACAAATATCATAATGTCAGTTTTACAACCAGAGTTGTGTTGTACACAGACACCAAACAAGGGGTACAAAAATGCTGAAATAAATCTAATGTTTCATGTCAGGATTAATAAGCAGCAAAATCCCTGATTTCCAGAGCTCCCATTCAGCAGTAGGTACTGTGCTGGATGAAAGATGCCTGGAGCACACATGTGGAAGGCACAAATATAGAATGCTTTGCTGATTTATCTGCTTCTAAATAATGTATTTTCCTACCCAGACAACAGCAATTGAGGAAGCTGCATTTTGAATTGCAAATTGGATCAACCAAACCCTGTTCTGGCATCTTGTATTTATTATCTGACAAAAGCAGAAACCAGGATTAACAGCGCAGAATTGAGATTCTAAATTTTTTTCCATTAATTTGTTGGCTCTTTTCTCAGTGTCTGAATTTACAAGCTAAACAACATTATGTGCTCAGTTTAACTTCCATGTCACTATCATTTTCATGATACATAAAGAGTAAATTTCAGATGGTCAGTTACTATTTTAACTTGCTTTGTTTGTTGTGTGCTTGTAAATGTGGAATTTTGTTTAGTTCTTTAAGCATTTCTGCATTTCACAAATATAACCTTCTGCTCTCTTGCATAGTGTAAATAGAGAAATGTTTCTTTTCCCCCTTCTTCATGGAGGAATTCTGAAACAGTTATTCTGTTATGGAGGAAATTCTTATAGGAATCCTAATATATTTAATGTAAACAAATATGACCTTCTGCTCTCTTGCATACTGTAAATAGAGAAATGTTCCTTTTTCCCTCTCTTCATGGAGGAATTCTGAAACAGTTATTCTGTTATGGAGGAAATTCTTAAAGAAATCCTAATATATTTAATGCAAACAAATATGACCTTCTGCTCTCTTGCATACTGTAAATAGAGAAACGCTGTTTCTTTTTCCCTTTCTTCATGGAGGAATTCTGAAACAGTTCTTTTGTTATGGAGGAAATTCTCATAGGAATCCTAATATATTTAATGTAAAACACTCTCAAAGCTGTTTTGTTTTTTGTTCTGTTCATGCTTTATGTGATGATAGCTTATCCATCTTTTCCAGGCCTGAACAGTTTTCCTTGGACTCCATGGGTGTCAGGCTGCTGGCAATTCTGCCAGGAAATATCAAATGGCTCAGCCTTCAGCTGATACCATGTTGGCTTGGAAAGAGCCCCCTGGAAGCTCTTATCATCTTCATGCCAGATATTTCACAGAAACCAAGCAGCTCATGGAACTTTGGTGAGAAAGAGAAGGAGCTTCTGGTATGTTCTGTTAAAGCAAACAGTAGATATCTCCCTCAATGCACAATATACCTGTGTGCAATTTAAAATGGATTCTGTTGCTTCCCTGTCTTTATTCCCTTGAGGGGCAGTAACTCTGTTGTACTAATTAGTAAATGGAATTGTCTGCAGAAAAGTTAGACACTGAAATCTGCTTTCCTGAGGGTTGCTTTTCATCTTAACCAGACAGTAACCCCTCTGAAAATCTGAAGTTAAATCCTGACCCAGTTTTAACTTGGGACCCCTAACTTTGCCAAATTTATTACTTGCAGGGTGGCTGTTAAACCTCCTGCTTGAAGGTTCCCTGGGATTGTTTCTGTGTTCTTCAAAGTAAAGTTTGGCCTTCATTCCTCAGGATAGAACAAGGTTATACTGAGCAAGGAAATGGAGATCAGCTTTACCCTGAGTGTTTTTGTCACTTGTTGTGCCTTCCAAATTGTCTTATATCCATTGATATATTATTTTCCACACTGTATTTGCAGTCAATACTGGCCACAGATGTAACATAAGGCCCTGCTTATCTCAACTGGGTGGGGAGCAACAGCAGGAGAGAACAGACACAAACCCAACAAAAACCCCAACCACACTTCAGCAATCAGATTAGACTGAAAGATATTTATTTAGAAACAACAGCTTTGGTATTTTAAAACCAAACAACCTGTAAGTCACTAGAAAGTGGGGTGTCTTCCCCCATAGCCAAAACAAATCAATGCACAAAGTCTCAATAGGTTTAGAATAAGAAACCTGTAGATCAGCATTTCCAAGTGCATATCCAGAAAACAATTTCATTAAATTGATTTTGCACTCTACAGTCATAAAACCTGTTACCAGAACTTACTGACAGTTAAAACTGTTAGATATTGACAGTTCAATTGACTGTAACTGAAGTGGAGGAAAAATTAACATACTCCCCCTCCCCCCAAGCAATAAATTACAAACTGTATACCAGAAAGGAAGTTACACTAAAGTTTTCTAGTTAACTCTCAGAAGGGAATCATTATCCTTTATTTTTCTGTAGAACTAAAAAAAAAAAACAAAAACAAAAAACAACAGATCAAAATATCCAAGGTCTTAGTATATCTTCAAGTATTTTCACCAAATAGATTACTCCTAGGGAACTGGACAGCTTACAGGGAAAGGACACATCTGTTACACAAGCTTCTGGGATAAACAGTTGAATCACCACACCTTCCAAGTCTCAGATTCCTGTAATAGCAAGGCACAGAAGGATTGTTGCTTTCAAATGCTCCTTGTTCTCAGCTGCAATATTGCCAGGTGTCTTGTGCAAATGGAGGCTGCAAGCAGGACTAAGTTCACTTGGCCAAGGGGATGCTCCCATTCAGTGACTGGAACAGGGTCTTATTTCAAGACCATCTATCTTGCTCACTGCTACAGATTCTGAGCTCCAGCTGCCTTCCACATTTTCCCTGTTTCTGGAATCAAGTTCTGCATCACCTTCATGTGAAGCAGGTGCAGCTGAGAGGAGGCAGCAGAGCTGTGTGCTCTGCAGTGCCCAGGAGGATGAGGAGCCAGGTCAGCCCTCGCTGTGGCTGTGCAGCCTCCGGGCACGTCAGCGGGCAGAGTCGGGGACAGCCACCTGCAGCAAGGGTTAACAGGTCATGGTAAAGGCAGGAGGCAAGGCCTGGAGATGACAAAGGCAACTGGATAGACAACAGTGAAAGGACACAATTACATAATTCCAAGGACACATTTTAGGGGTGTTACACAGTAACTGACATCACCTCCTAACCCCTTCCTCCCTCTGCACTGAGGTTCTGATCATGATCAGAGGCTTCTAACTGCAGTTGTCTGATTTCCATTTCTATCCTACCTCTTCCTAGGTCAGTCTGTCTGGCTACAAGCACCTCCCACTCCATCTTTTATTGGATCACAGGTATTCAGACCTGCTTGGGATCAGGCTTGATCTCCAGTGCTCAAAATGACAAAACCAGTGAGCTGACAGGGAAACTTGCAGCTCACTTTAAAGACCCCTTACATACCAGCGGTCAAGTTTAGTTCAATACCTTCTGTTCAGCCTTAGCTATCCAAAATCAAATTTGATTTTATAATTTGGAATAACAGCACAATCTATAGCTAGAACTTTTCCTCTGACAGCTGTTTAACTACCATCTCCTTTTTTTCTAAATGAAAGCTACATTTAACTTAGTCCAGCCTCAGGAGGGAAGCCTCTGAACAGCACAACTAGCTCACACAGTAAATCCAGCCTGGTCTTGCATTTCCACTTCATATCAACACACAATCAGAAATTCCCAGTACTAAGAGCAGAACTCACCATCTATTCTGTGCTAAGTTTTTACAGCAAATAAGTTTTCCAAGGCAACTCAGAACAACTTGAAATTCTTTACACCCAGGTAAGATGAGCTTGGAGCTCTGGCTCCAGAACTTGGAGCCAGAACCTTCAACTCACAGTAAAAAGCACTCAGTACTTTCCTTAGCACAGCTTTGTATTTTGTCTGACTGGGAGAAACACCCATTCAGCATCCTCCCAAAATGTTGGTGCTAAGTGTGGTGTGATGGAGGCTGCACAGTGTCTGTAATATGAACACCTACCACAAGTCCCAGCATGTCAGCAGCTTCACCCCCAACACCAGCCTGCCTTTGGGTGTTGCTGTGGACACCTCACACATCCAGAGCAGGCAGGCAGGTGTGCAGGTCTCCACACAGCAGTACAGACAAGTACAGCAGCTCTCTCACAGGTTTTTTGGTACTGATTAACAAGAATCATCCCATGGCAACTGCAAGTGCTGGCCTAGAAACAAGCAATGTCCTACACTGATGTGTGGGAAAAGGACAGAAAGCTGTGTCTGCCTCCACCTGCAGCCTCACAAATGTCTAAGGACAGATGATGAGTTTATCTTTTCTAATGATTCTGAGCCCTACTGCTCCAATCCCTGCCCTAATCCTCCTTGCAAGAAGAGATTGCTTGTTTCAAGAGAGGCTGAAAATCCTCACAGTCCAAGAGAGAGCCTGCCCAGGCACAGCTGACACAACATCAGGCTGACAACACTCAGTGGACAGCAGGCAAAAGCAGCAGTTTTATACCTTACTCCTGAAGAGGGGCTTGGCTCCCGGCCCACAATACTCGTTGTAGATGAGTTTGAACAGAAACAAATGAAACAAAGTAATTAAGGAGGCCACACTGAACCAGAACAGGAAGGGTAAGCCTGGGTATTGCTTGGCCATGTGTTCCTCATGAGCTAGAATAGCTTTTAGGTGGAGTGTGTGTCTTAGGTCCTGCAAGTGGACCAAATCTGTTGATATATAAAGCAGTGGTGTGATGGGCTGAGTGACCATGACGGGGAAGGTGTGACCTCGTGCCTCTGAGGTGAGCTCCACGGGCTCGTTCATGCAGCCTGCCTCACAGGCATACAGTCTGACAGGCTTCTCCTGGAACTTCACAGACACGTGCAAGAAGGGCTTTCCTTCTGCATCCAGGAGAACAGCTAAACTGATCAAGTCCTTGTTGTAATGGATGCCACGTAAGGAGTAGCTGTTATGGAGCACATCGGGGTCAGCCTGAAACTGAAGATGGTTTTCTGTGAACTGCAGACCCCCAAAACTAAGCACCATTCCCTGCATCAGCCCGTGCACTCCAGCTGTCACAAGGCCCTTGCAGCCCCGTTTTTGGAGAGTCAGCTTCCACAGGTCTGAGAGCTGCAGGATCTGGCTGACACTGGTCAGCCTGGGTGGCCACAGGTTCTGGGCGTGCATGGTGGCGTGGCCACTGAAGCAGTGGTCAGCATAGTTCAGGCTGGCCTCAATCTTCTCCCTGTCCTCACCAGCAAGGAGAGGGTCCAGCAGGGGGGCTGGCACAGTTGACAGCACGTAGTAGAGGGTCATGTTGACAGTCTCACTGGATGGGGTGTGTGCATCTGTGATCTTCCTCATTTCAATCCCTGGAGCAAAAGAAAACAACCAATAGTCAGGAATTAACTAGGAGGAAAAGAAGATCAAACATGCACACTGATGTTCAATATGGTGTTCTTTATCTATAAAACACCAAAGTGTGGCGCCCTGATTTTTTAAGATTTTCTAAGCCTTCTGATGTTTACATTCTTGTGACGAATTTTCTCACACACTTTCTGTAAATAACTTAGTGCTTTGCATTCTTTTATAGAGGAAGAGAAATTTGATGGACTGACAATTTGGTTTGTCCAGTGTCATTGGAGAGGTGGCACTTTCACCCTCCAATCCACTGTCACTTTTAGAAAATAAATACAAATGTTAGAATCAGTAAATAAATTTCCCTTTTTCTCCACCTTGAGAGCAGCAGTGTGTGCGCTCGTGTTGTTTCGTATCCTATAGTAACAAAAGTGAAATGTTTCCTTGTGTTTGTCTAAAAGACACTCTCTCTGCTACTTGGCAGTTTGAAAGCCAAGCTCCCACTAAAGACAAAGTTAATTTAATATACAGATGCCTTACAGGCCTGTTGTCATGACTCTGCAAGAATGATCTGTCAAAAGAATATAATCTTGTTATAAAATAACAGTTATAAAATAACAAGTTACACATTATTTGGTCAGCTACTCTTTTATGTAAGACATTAAAATCTTAAGAAAAAGCATCTTTGTAGAATGGCCCTTAATCTCCATGCAGAATCTGTCTTTTATGCTATCACTAAAGGTCAGCTTTATTTCCAACTGACATGCAGGCAAATCAGTGAAGTTCCTGAAGCCATAGGAAGCAGTACACACAAAATAATGATTATAAATGTTCTTCTCTGACTTTCTATACATAGTCGGGTGTACTCCAGTGTAAGATAAGCTGGGTTCCAAACCAGGAACACTGTTTTACTATCCCACAGCCCATCAGGAAGACCAGAGCCTCTGGAGACCTTACAGGAACCAGGACACTGAGCTTTCAGACACCCTCTGAAGCCACCCCATGGAAATTGAGCATCACGTTCCTTACCTGAAATGAACAAGTCAGACCAGGTCTGCTGGTGCTCCTGGAAAAGATCTTCCACCCCCATCTGCATCACCTCCAGCATCTCTTTCTTGGCTGCCTCCCTCAGCTTGCTGAAGGTCTCCTCCAGCCTGGACACCTCGATGGGCTCCGAGGTGTACACCACGGACAGCACGGTCTCGTCAAAGTGCGACTCGGGCGCGACCTGCACCCGGCTCACGAGTTTCTTGGCAGCCACCACCACCAGCACCACCTTGGGGCTGCCGGCCAGCAGCAGGCGGCCGGAGGAGAGCAGGAACTGCCGCTCCTCCACCTTCTCCAGGCTGGTGGTGAAGCGCCCGCCCAGCGCGGACGCGGCGGCGGGAGCCGAGGCCTCGAAGGCGGCCACCCGCACGGTGGGGTTGGCGATGCGGATGCGCTGCAGGTAGAGGTGCGGCCGGCTCCGGTGGGCCACCACCTCCTCCCGCACCGTCACGCAGTCCCCGGCGCCGGGCCCCGTCTGCACGCAGCGCAACCTCCGCACGGCCCCGTCCCGCAGCGCCGCCAGCGCCGCCCGCGCCTCGCCGCGCCCGCCCAGCGCCCTCAGCCGCACCAGCGCCGGGTACTCGGTGGCGAGCGGCGGGCCCGCAGCGGGCCCCGCGGGCCGCACCCAGAGCCGCCCCGCCGACACGTCCAGCAGCAGGAACCCGTTACCGGCCACCGCCAGCCCCGGGGGCTCGCCGGCCCCGGCCGCCTCCTCAGGCAGCGGCAGCGCATCGCCGCGCTGGGTCTGCTCCCGCCAGGCGCCCGAGGCCGCCTGCACGCAGAGCGCGGCGGGGCCCCAGGGCTCGGCCCCGCGCCCCGCGCCCCGCGCCCGCGCCGCGCCCAGGTACCAGTAGGCGACGAGCAACAGCACCAGCAGCAGCAGCAGGCGCCGCGCCCAGCTGCTGGACAGCAGCCCCGGCAGCCCCTTCAGCCGCTGCTGCAGCCACATGGGCGGCGGCGGCGGGCGAGCCCCGGCCCAGTCCTTCCCGGCCCCGGCCCCGCCGCACCGGCCCTAGGCCGCCATGGCCGCCGCGCCACAGGCAGCTCCGCCGCGCTTGGCGGCGCTTTGCGACAGCCGCGCCCTCCGGCCCTCAGGGGGCGCTTGGCCGGGAGACGCGGCCCGGCCCCGGAACCGCCCCGGAACCACCGGGAACCCGGCTGGGAAACGCCGGAACCGCCGGGAACCCGGCTGGCACAGCCCCGGAACCGCCGGAACCCCGGCTGGCACAGCCCCGGAACCGCCGGGAACCCCGGCTGGCACAGCCCCGGAACCGCCGGGAACCCCGGCTGCGAAACCCCCGGAACCGCCGGAATTCCGGCTGTCACACCCCCGGAACCGCCGGGAACCCCGGCTGCGAAACCCCCGGAACCGCCGGGAACCCGGCTGCCAACAGCCCGGAACCGCCGGGAACCCCGGCTGCGAAACCCCCGGCTTCCAAGCTCCCGGTTTCCAACCCCCCCGGCTCCAGGTCCCCCCTTGCCCGGGGCCCCCCCGGCTCCCGGCCCCTCCCGTTACCGGGACCCCTCTCGGCTCCGAGCCCCCTCAGCTCCGGAACCGCCGGCACCGGGATTCCCCCGGCTCCGGGCCCGCCTGCCCTGCCCTGCTCCCTCTGCGGTGTCCGTGGTGCCCTCGGGCAGCTGCAGCCCACGCTGGGGTTCAGTGTCTCCTCCCCGGGTCACTGCACCGATCGAAAAGGCCTGGAGGGGTTTTCCGTGATTCCCGTGGCAGTTTAGTGGCTTGCCACCACAGACTATGCGGGAAAGGAAATTTTTTCTATCAAACTCTGTCCCACTGTGTTGTAAATAATGGACCAAACTTTCTCAGATGCCTTAGATGTGCACAGGAACGCTTTGTGTCCAGAGCAGTGCTCGAAAGACAAAACGGGTTTCAAGCAAGTCAGGCAGAAACACTGTGAGTTAGGGTGAAATGTGAAATTCTCGACCAGGTTGAGGCAATGAACCAGTTCAAAAAATGGAAACAGAGGAGACACGTTCTTGATTTCTTCCGACAAATGAGCTGTTTGACTAGGGGGTGGGTGGGGAGAGCACTGGAATCCTAAACAGTGGATGAGACCCCATTCACTGCAGGTTTCAATGGGCTGGTGTCACTTTAGGACACGAAATAAAACGACACAGACACTGGAATCTCCAGGGTAAAAAGAAGGGTGTTTAATTCCTGACTCCAACATTTATAGATTTCCAAAAGTGACAATGGATTGGAGGGTGACAGTGCCACCTCTCCAATGACACTGGACAAACCAACAGTCCATCAAATTTCTCTTCCTCCAGAAAAGAATGCAAAACAGTAAGTATTTACAGAAAATATAAAATTATATAAATATAAAAATATAACATATAAAATAAAAATATATAATATAGAAAAGATAAACATCAGAAGGCTTAGAAGAACTTAAAAAACCAAAACAGGCTGGTGGTGTCAGCTTTGAGGCTGCTTTAAGAGCAGAGCTCTGGCCCTTCCAGTTTTCAGGAAGCTGCTGCTCTGCCTGGAGCACGTGTTGCACGTACTCACTGCAACATCTGCATCGGCAGCTGGCTCTGCTTAAAAAGACAGGCAGCCAGCACACAGATGTGAAAAATGTGTATTTTATGATTGGCTTTTGGCAAATATTAACATGAATATTATATGTGTTGTGTTAGAAAGTTATGCTGTGTTAATTCTCTTAAGCAGTGTGTTAAATATAGCTTTAGGTTATAACAAAATGTTAAAATAGAAGCTGTGCTATGGAGGATACTTTTTTACCTAAAGAAAGGACTTGCACTGAGCAGCCACAGGACACCTAAATCTTTCAGAGAAAGAGAATTTATTGCTCCATTATCAGGAGAAACAAAACTCCTTCCTGCCTCTCTCAGGTAGGACAATGTTGTCAGGATTCAGAGGAAGAAGCTGACACTGCCCAGACAGAATCCTGTGTTTGAATGGAATTTATGCATCATGTGTGAGGTGTATGAATATGCAACAGGCTGTTGCTTTTAAGGGTTAATCCTCTGTTAATGTGGGTCCTTTTTCAGGGCTTATTTTGCCCAGAAAAGATACTCAGACTGTCCATAACTCCTTGTTTTTATTGTCTCATATTGTCCTAATCCAAATTGTCCAAATTTTTATTACTCTAATTATATGACTATTTTTATCAGCATTTTATTACTATTAAACTTTTAAAATTTTAAAAAACAAGTGATTGGCATTTTTCACACAGATCAGCACAAACACACAAAGAGGGGGAATATGCTTGCTGGGTTGGCATAGCTGCAGAATACAAAGCTGTCAAACAGAGACAGCCTGGCTACAGCAGCATAAACAATGAGGCATTCATGATTTGGAGTGTGCAAAACCACTTTCGTTGTAGACTGGAGAGATTTAACTTCATTAAAATGAGAAACTTGCAATTTTAAAAATCCACGTTGAGTTGCAGACCTCAGTCTGAGGTCTGAAGGTGAAGGAGGGAACATCTATGCTGTGGCTCCTGCCTTAAACAGATTTATCATGGGCTTTGTCTGGGCCTGCAAAGTACTGAAGAAATCTAAAGTGAAAGTATGTTCTTTTCAGTTTTTTGATTTAGGGAAACTGGCAGCTTTGCAAAAGGAAGTTTTCTGAAATCATCATCTTAGAGAGAACTAGGGTTGTTGCCTGGGATGCTCATGGCTTCAGCATGACAGCTGTTCTGTTTGCCTGGTAATTATGAGGGAATTCCTGCACTGGGGAGAAGGAATGGAAGGAACAGTGCTTTGAACACACTCAAGAATATTCTCAGTGAACAAACAAACAGTAATGGGAATTCTTTGGGATGATGCTGTTATGGATCATGGAGAATATCTGTTACCTACCGTGTAACCCTTCTAATGTGCTTGATTTTTTTTTTTCTCCTCGTGCCTTCTTGTTTTATGTTTGTTTGTTTGTTTGTTTTTAACCTGAACCCTGTTATATCTGTGATTTCTGTTAATTTAAAGAGATGATTTACTGACAGGCCTCACATAGGATCTGTGTCAGATCTGGTGTCCTGCAGGCTCAAAAGGGTTTCCCTACATCTAAACCTTACATTCACTGCAGTGTAGAAATGACCATAAAGCAAATGTTAATTTTAAGATGTGTAACTTTCTAAGGCAGGATTATTTTGTTTATTCTCAAGGGCAGAATGAAATAGAAAAAGATGCCTACATAAGGGACCAGAGCTACAGCAAGAAAACCCAATACAAGGCCACAGAGATTAATGTAAGACTTAAAGATGTGTATAAGGCCAGAGAAAACCAGCTACTCCAGGAAACAAAACCACTGCAGACTTTGTGTTCACCAAGGAAATATGGGAGGTGACAGGTAGGAAGAAGGTATGAAGAAGTTATGAATAAGGCTTCCAGTTTCTAGAGCTGTGCATAACATTATAATCCATTTCTGGTTTGCTTTTTATATATAAATATCCCATAAGTGTCAGCCAGCTGCAGCCCAGCAGTAGCTGAAGCTGGCCAGAGGTGACTCCTCTCCTCCTATACCAGTGTTTGCTCAATGTGGGGGTCCCAGTTGAGGGTTTCTCTGGGTCTGCATTGAAGGCACTGAGACAGGAGTTCATGTTCACACTCAGGTGTTTATTATTTCTTATCAGTGAAACAGTCTCACTGCTGGGAGTTCTGCAGCTTTTCATTAGAAGGCACAAAATGGCAACAATCTCTTGGTACAAGGGCTTTTCAGACTAAACTGTCCAGTTAAGAGCTGACACCCAGATTATTTTCCCTTTTATAACCCAATAACTGATCCCAAAGAGCTGCAATGGGGACTTTTCTGCCCAATTACAAAACGCCACCCAAACCCATGGAGAAGGAGGAAGAAGAAGAAGAAGAAACCCAGGACAACACCCTGTGCCCTCCATCTTGCTGCCATCCACAACACACTAAAAATCCCAAAACCTCAATTTCTCACCCAGTGACACACCTGCACTGCTCTCTAGAATCTATTTCACACTTTTGTGGATTCCAGTCTATTCTGATGTTTAGGAAACTTTCTCCATGGATGAGGGTCAGAGTCAGTGCTCCCTGGGGGTCAGGGCACCCCAGAGCAGACACAGAAATATTCCCAGTGCTCTGGGTTTGCACAGCTCAATGCCTCTTTGCCCCTCTGCTCATCCATTGCCCCCTGCCGGCCCCCGCAGGATCCCGCACCCTGGGTGTGAAAAACGCCAATCACTTGTTTTTAGAACTTTAAAAGTTTAATAGTAATAAAATGGTTCTAAAAATAGTAATACAGTTTGAGTGATAATAATTTGGACAAATTGAATTAGGACAATATGAGACAATAGAGACAAAGAGTTACAGACAGTCTGGGTACCTCTTTCTGGGCAGCACGAGCCCGAAAAAGGACCCACGTTAACAAAGGATTAACCATTAAAAACAATAGCTTGTTGCATGTTCATACACTTCATGCATGATGCATAAATTCCATTCAAATACAGGATTCTGTCTGGTCATCATCAGCTTCTTCCTCTGAATCCTAACAACGCCTTCAAGGCAGGAAGAAGTTCATTTCTCCTGATAAAGGAGCAATAAATTCTCTTTCTCTGAAAGATTTAGGTGTCCTGTGGCTGCTCAGTGCAAATCCTTTCTTTAGGTAAAAAAAGTATCCTCCATAGCACAGCTTCTATTTTAACATTTTTTTATAACCTAAAACTATATTTAACACACTACTTAAGAGAATTAACACAGCCTTACTTTCTAACACAACACGTATAATACTCACTTTAATATTTGCAAAAAGCCAATAATAAAATACAAATTTTTCACACCGGGATGTGAAAAACGCCTATTTTATTTATTTTTAATCCGCTGCAGCTCCGGGATCAAACCCACGAGCTCACCTCGCTGCTTTCCAGGATCTCCCAGCCCTGCCCCGGCCCCCTCCCGCCTCTTGCGGGGGCTGCCCGGGAGGAGGAGCCGGCGCCTCCCCGCTTCCTCCAGGGCGGGTCTGGTGCGTGGCACAGCTCCGGCAGCCCCGCTCCGTCCCGCAGGCACCGCTCCTGCTCTGTGTGCGCAGGAGAAGCCGCTTCCATGGTGCCTCCGGCCGTGCTGCTGCTGCTCTGGGCGGTGCTGGCGCTGCTCGGGCCGGGGAGCGGCCGTGCCTCGCAGCAGGAAGGTACGGGGGGTGCTCGGGGCACCGGCAGCACGGAGGGCATTGGTACCACGGGGTGGGGCATTGGTACCACGGGGTGGGGGATTGGTACCACGGGGTGGGGCATTGGTACCACGGGGTGGGGCATTGGTACCACGGGGTGGGGGATTGGTACCACGGGGTGGGGGATTGGTACCACGGGGGGCTGCTCGGGGCACGGGGGGACTGGCAGCACTGGGGGGGGATTGGCAGTATGGGGGGGATTGGCAGCACTGGGGGATACTGGCAGCACTGGGGGGGATTGGCAGGATGGGGGGGATTGGCAGCACTGGGGGGGGATTGGCAGCACTGGGGGGGATTGGCAGGATGGGGGGGATTGGCAGCACTGGGGGGGATTGGGAGTATGGGAGGGATTGGCAGCACTGGGGGGGGATTGGCAGCGCTGGGGGGGGATTGGCAGCACTGGGGGGGATTGGCAGCACTGGGGGGATTGGCAGCGCTGGGGGGGGATTGGCAGCATTGGGGGGGATTGGCAGCACTGGGGGGGATTGGCAGCACTGGGGGGATTGGCAGCACTGGGGGGGGATTGGCAGCACTGGGGGGGGATTGGCAGCACTGGGGGGGATTGGCAGCACTGGGGGGGATTGGCAGTATGGGGGGGATTGGCAGTATGGGGGGGATTGGCAGCACTGGGGGGGGATTGGCAGCACTGGGGGGGATTGGCAGCACTGGGGGGGATTGGCAGCACTGGGGGGGGGGATTGGCAGCACGGGGGGGGATTGGCAGCACTGGGGGGGACTGGCAGCACTGGGGGGGACTGGCAGGATGGGGGGGATCGGCAGCACTGGGGGGGGATCGGCAGTATGGGGGGGGATTGGCAGCACTGGGGGGGGGATTGGCAGTATGGGGGGGATTGGCAGCACTGGGGGGGGGGATTGGCAGCACTGGGGGGGACTGGCAGCACTGGGGGGGGATTGGCAGCATGGGGGGGGGAAATTGGTAGCATGGGGGGGATACCGGCAGCACCGGAGGGGGGGGGCCGGCAGCACTGGGGGCTGCTCGGGGTACGGGGGGCACCGGCAGCACCGGGGGAGATTGGCAGCACTTGAGGGGACCAGCAGCACGGGGGGGATGCTCGGGGCACGGGGGAGGAATTGGCAGCACTGGGGGGGCACCGGCAGCACGATGGGGACTGGCAGCATTGGGAGGGCACCGGCAGCACCGGGGGCTGCTCGGGGCACGGGGGGCACCGGCAGCACTGGGGGGATACCGGCAGCACTGGGAGGGCACCGGCAGCACGGGGAGCCGGCTGATGGACGGGCACAGCCGCCCCGGTGCCACCCTGCCCTACCTGCCCGGCACTGCCCGGGCCGAGCCTGCGGCACTGTGAGCCCCTGGGAGGCACCTGGAGCCTCGGTGAGACAGCATCCATCATTCCAGCCCCGTGAAGGACTCTCGGTCCTTCATCCCACCTGCGTCAGCCACTCCCTGGTTTTGAGCTTAGGCGGTTCAAGAATGCAAGAATTTTGAACTTAGGTGGTTCAAGAATTCAAGAATTTTGAGCTTAGACGGTTCAAGAATTGGGTTACCGGAGGGTGTTTGATTCCAGACTGGCCACACTGTGACTCAAGATCAGGGATGCTCCTAAAATAGCATCAGTTTGTGTCTGCCCTGTAAACAGTCAGTAAAGCTCTAGAGTGGCTGGTAGAACAGCAGAGGATTAGGGCAGCTTCACAATGTCAGCTGCACTGACAAAGTGGTTCATACTCTGTCACTCTGCCAAGAAGTTTGGATAATTATCTCTGTCTTCATTAGAGAAGTGGCAATTAGGAGGAGATTTCATCTTGTTGTGTGTAATATTTCCCTTCACAGTGAGATTCTGGTATAACTATCTTTATGTACATTACTTAATACAGTTAATGTGCATCTGTGGGGGTGTTGGGAGTTCCTTGGCTATAGTGGTGTAATTAAAACAAAGAATCTCTGTGCTGTCCTGCCTTCCTTGCACATCCCAAATCTTCCATGGTTTTAGTATGCACTAGAGATATAAAACTGAGGGCTGGGAAAGAGAATGAGGTAAATTGGTTAGGAAGAGGAATTTGGAATTAGCTGTTATCTGAACCATCACTTTTGGCATGGCTGAAAGAGAAAATGCCTCATCTTTTCTGTGCCTCAGCTTCTCCAGAGTAATGTGAGAGTAGTGATACCTGTCTTCTCTCTTGGATGTTATTTTATATCTCTGCAAAAGCTCTCAACATAGTTATTTGTAGTTGATAGAATTTTAAAAAATTCTTCTGTAAATGTAATACAAAGATTATATTATCCACTGTTTAATTGTGCACAGTTGATTTTTTTTTTCTACTTGATCCCCATATTAATGTTATTTTCTTAGACACTGTCTTAACAGGAAGTGACACAGTAAGATTTCCCAAATCACAGCCTGAGGATAAATTCATTCCTTGTCCTGAAATGCAGCTGCAGCTGTGCTTTCCCTGTAGACTTAGGGCAGAAGTAAATAACTTTCTTTTTTTTTTTTTTTTTTTTTTTTTTTTTTTTTTTTTTTTTGTTTCTGAACTCATCTGGTCTCTGATTTTTATTTTTTATAAAAACTCAGATATTTACTGAATCATTTCATTGTGATCTTGGTATCAAGGTTCCTGATCCAGTGCTTTGTTCTTACAGAATCCTTTTCATCTATAGAGCTCTAAAACCTTCACAAAATAGGTAAATATCCTCTTCTATCATTCTACAGATGGAAAAGCAGGGATAGCTGCATTAGCTCCTTGTTGCATAGCAGAACCAGCAATACAGTCCAGCTCCCCAGCTTCTGAGTCCAGTGCTTGCTTTGTTTTTTGCAGCCGTGCCATTATTAAAAGTATTTCTACAATTCCTAGTTGCTGGTGTGGCCCAGGGAGCCTCTGGGCCCAGGAGGCCTGGCTCAGCAGAACAAGCTGCATTTCTACATGTGGAAGTTGACTGTGATATGGGAAACAGAGATGCATCAATCTGTTTAGGGAGTATTGAAAGTAAGAGGGTTTCCTGCTCTGTCCTTGAAAGTATCCATCAGCTGCATGAGAGTTCAGCAAAATCTTTGTGAAAGAGGGGAAAGGGTTAAAGCAGAAGGAGTGGAGGCAACATAGCACAAACCCCAGTGCTGGGCTGAAGGAATGTCTCTTGGGATGGAAAGCTGTGCCTACTGCACAGAGCTCTTAGAACAGAAACTGAGCTTAGTGTCTCTGTGTCCTTTCTCACAGGAATCTGTGACTTGGGATTCTGCTGGGGATGAGAGTGGGCTTTGTGCTGGTTTTTCGTGCTCCTCTGAGTTCACAAACTGCACGGGGAGAACTTTTCTGTCGTAGAAATAGGACACCGCTTCCTGTGCTGTGGGAGCCTTTAGCACTCATCCTGTCCAGCAAATTTTGGCAGTCAAGTCATAAACAGTGTGTGGCTTCTTTGGGATGGCAGCACAAAAATGAATTGGTGACTTATTTAATGTGAGGTGCCTGAGATTTTGGGCTGAAATCATTGCATAGCAGTCAGGATCCTTCCCCTCCTTCCCCTCCTTCCCCTCCTTCCCCTCCTTCCCCTCCTTCCCCTCCTTCCCCTCCTTCCCCTCCTTCCCCTCCTATTATTATAATATGCTTTCTCCCCTCATGTACTAGAATTTGGGGGTTGTCTGCATTCCTCTCTGACAAACCCATGCTTGTCCCCCTCTTCCTTGGCAATATGATCCTCACCTTCTCAGGATCCATGAGCTCAGAGATCTCTCAAAAAGCTGCCATGGTTTTCTGTGTGCCATCATATGGCTAGAAACTTTAATGGCTTTAACATATTCCCTGAGGAAATATGTATTTTAATCATTTGTTTGCTCCCTCTGACTGGGCTGGCCACAAGGCACTGGAGTGTGCTGGAGGTGCTGGATTAGGAATGCACTTCATATGTCTAAAAATCTGCCCTTAAAAACTTCACCTCTGTGGGATTCATATTCTTTTATTTATCACTTTGTGCATGTGTCTCATAAATACAATTGGACCTGACTTATTGATTGTTCTCAAGCTCTCTTCTCTTTTTTTATTCTGAATCAGGTAAAGGATTTGAGGAATTTCTTTGGTAATATCTCCTTTCCTCCTGACATGGAGTCTTATACTTATTTTTCACTTCTGCTGCCTTTGTGAGGTCCATCTAAACTTCTAGATCCTTCCTCTCTAAGACTAGGCAGAATATCAGTTTGGGTACCTGAGGGACATACATCTGGTACATCCATTGAAAAAAATCATTGTTCCAAAAGAAGCCTGCTGAGGCCAAGAAAATGTCCTTTCAGTTTTTCCTGGTATTTTCTGATGTTTAAAACGGATGGCCAGGATTTGCATTTTAAGCACTGTTGCCAGAGCCTATACAAATTCCTACTTCAGCAAAACTGTGAAGGTGAAGTATAACATTTCATCATTGCAATGAGGAAAGCAGAAATTCCACGTAAAAATCATATTCCAGGGTACCACAGAGAAACTTCTGAAAGAGAACTTCAGGATTAAGTTTTATCCTTTTTAAGGGACTGGAAATGAAAAACAAGTTTGGGAGGAGAATGTAAATTAAAATTATAGCACAATTAAATTCACATTGAATATGTATGAAAAACTGGAAAATGCCTCAGGAATGGAGTAGAAAACTGAAGCAGCCATGGAGAGGGAAAAATAACATTTAATCTAATTTTGGTTTTCCCTACATCCAGTCAATGCTGAGTGACAAAAAAGCAGCTCTGTGGGGAACAGAAAGTCAAAACTGCATTAAATTGATGACTTTCAAATGGGCATTTTGTAGTACTTCTGTTTTTTATCTTCAAGTTTAATTTCTTCTGTACTCTGTGTGAGAGAAGAGAGTTGTAGCTTTCACTAGCAGGGCAAAAAACCCACTAAATTAATTTTATTTTCTTTTTTTACCTCAGAACTCAGGCAATGAAATTGTATCTCTACATAATCTCTCATTTTATACCCACAATCAAGTTAGGTGTGGAACCAGCAGGCTGTGGAAACCACACAAGCTGAGTATCTGTTGTGCTTTCCCCTGTGTGCAGAAAATCTGCTGGTTCTGACTGTGGCCACCAAGCAGACTGAGGGATTCCAGCGGTTCAGAAGATCAGCCCAATTCTTCAACTACAAAGTCCAGGTGATTTCTAGCACCTTCCATGGGGGTTGGTTATCAGATTTTCAGGGAAATCCCTGATGAAGGAAGGAATGATGCATCTGACTCCATCTTACCAGAAGGCAAATTAATTACTTTATGATACTGTATTATTCTATACTGTATTACATTATATTGTGCTACATCTAAACTGAATCTGCCAAGCCAGGGGTTCAGGAGTGCAGCACAGCACCTGGAGCAGCTGAAAACCCTGCCCTGATCCACATCAGGCTTCTTTGCACTAAGGATTACCATTAATGACTGGCTTAGGCTAGGAAAGACATTTTTGAATATAGTAGATATTTTTGTCTTCAATGAGGGGGAGAGAAGATGCATCTGACTCTACCAGAAGGCTAATTAATTACTTTATTATACCATATTATTCTATGTTATATTATATTACATCTAACCTGAATCTGCCAAGCACTCAACTCCACACAACTGTACAGAATTTTGTGACTGTCAGTGACAGTCCCAACAAACACACACACACACACCTGGCCCTGATAGGCCAAGGAAACAAAACCCCATCACTGTGGGTAAACAATCCCCATATTGCATTCTACTTTGGCACAAACACAGGCACAGCAAATGGGAAGAATTGTTTTTCCTTTCTCTGAGGTTCAGAGAATGTGAAACCCAGAAATAATTCTTGGGAAGAATTGTGCCTTGCTTTTCTCTGTGAAGAGAAATGTGGCAACAGTTGATCAAAGGGAATTTCAAATTGTGGAATGGATCAGCCTTGGCCCCACAGTGATTAAATAAAAGCTCAAGAGAGGACACACATCTGCTCAGCTGGCTGAAAAGTGCTGTGACTGGGTTATTTCTGCAGTGTCCTGAGTGTTGGCTTGGGGTGAGATCCATAGCTCCTGCTCAAGGGAGCCTCATGGCACTTTTCCATTGCACTGCCAGGACACACAGTACAGGGTGTGCTCCTGTCCCTGTGGCCAGGAGTGCTTTGTGTTACCTTGTGACCCTGATTGTGCAGCCCACAGGCTGGATCCAAGGCTGCCTAGTCCATTTGTCCTGGGGCTGTGATTTTTGCTGTGATTTGCACTGGGAGTTATCAGAACCACTAAGTTTGTGGGTTCTGGTTCTTTCCTGTGAGCCTTGCTGGGGAAGTGCCCTGTTGAGGTGACCCTGTGTGGCATTCCCATTTTCTGGAAAAATCCCTTCTCCCAGGATTTTTCTCCTGGGAAGCTGAGAACTCTCAGAGAAAAAGAAAACAATTGTTGTCTCATTAGATTCTCCTGTGTTTTGCTGCTTTGGAATGTGTTTGGAGATTGTTTACCCACAGGTGATTGTTGCATTGGATTCTGCTGTGAATTATTTTGACTCTCTGGCCAATCACAGCCAAGCTGTGTCAGGACTCTGGAAAGAATCACAAGTTTTCATTATTATCTTTTTAGCCTTCTGTAAGTATCCTTTCTGTATTCTTTCGTATAGTTTAGTTCAGCACTCTTTAATATAATATAGTATGATAAAATAATAAATTAACCTTCTAAGAACATGGAGTCAGATTGATCATTCCTCCCTTCATCTGGGGGGAATGCAAATGCAGTAACCCTGTGCCTGTTGCTGTGTAGGTGCTGGGGCTGGATGAGGAGTGGCAGGGTGGAGATGACCAGCAGCCAGCTGGAGGGGGGCAGAAGGTTCGTCTCCTCAAGTCAGCTCTGAAGCAGCACGGGGATAAGGAGGATTTGATCATCCTTTTTGTGGAAAGGTAATGCTTGCAAAGAATTTGCCATGAACTGAATCTTACAGTGGTTTGGATGGGTTCTCACTGAGAAGAGATGAACTGTGAAATCAATTGCTTTTGAAAAGTGTGTCCAGATATCTGGTGGTTTGTTGTTTTGGTTTTTTTTTTTCCCCTGAATGCTCTGTGGTTTCCTGGCAATTGCTCAGAGCTGCATCCGTGGCACTTGGGAAGGGCTGATCTGAGCAGGCTGATGCCAATTCCTGCATGAAGTTGATAGTGTTGTACCTGATTCTGCCACAGTGGAATTTGGCTGCCTCCATCTGCAGAGAATGAGCAGACAATTCCTATGGAACTAGGCAGGACTTTCTTACCAGAGTTATTTGTTTTATAAGGTGAAGTAGGCTGCAGCACATCCTGAGAGCCAAGAATCAGTCTCCAGAGAGGTGGAGAGAGAAAAGGAAGGGTTGGAGTCTCAGTGTCTTTTCATATGCCCAGCATACAAATAAGACTACACTTTATTAGTTGCATTAACAAAAATTTAATACTGTTGTGACTGTCAGTGACAGTCCTGACACACACACACACCTGGCCCTGATAGGCCAAGGAAACAAAACCCCATCACTTTGGGTAAACAATCCTCATATTGCATTCTACTTTGGCACAAACACAGGCACAGCAAATGGGAAGAATTGTTTTTCTGTTAAACAGAATTAATACTGTTAAACAGAACTAAAAGAAAGATTCCCAAAGAATTATCTGTTTCTAGAAACTTTTCTCAATGACATGTTTTTCTGACTCCATTCCTTTTGTCCTTTTTTTGTCTGTCTCTCTCTCTAGCTATGATGTGCTCTTTGCTTCAGGCCCCACAGAACTGCTGAAGAAGTTCAGACAAGCCAAAAGCAAGGTGGTTTTCTCAGCAGAGAATTACATCTATCCTGACAGAAAGCTGGAAGCCAAGTACCCTCAGGTGCGAGATGGAAAGCGCTTCCTGGGTTCTGGAGGTGAGACACAGAGCTTGCTTTCAGCTTTCTCCTCCTATTTGACCTTTGTGGGAGAAGTGGCAAAGCAAACTGAAAGGTGATGAGTCTGCAGCAGCACAGGGTGTAGTGAGATTTCATGTGAGAGAAGTGAAAGTAGATGTATACAGGAGTATTTCTATTTTTTGGTCATCTGGGTTGAAACACTTCCTCATCCTTATTCCCACAGGCTTCATAGGTTATGCTCCAAACCTGAAGAAGCTTGTGGAGGAGTGGAAAGGAGAGGATGATGACAGTGACCAGCTCTTCTATACAAGAATCTTCTTGGATCCAGAAAAAAGAGTAGGTGTATCTTGATTCTGAGTTGGTGAAAATTTGCATTCTAGCCAGTACCCCCATTTTCTGGTATCAGCAGTTTTTATATTTAAGCATAAAATGTGGATGGGAAGAGAGATGTCTGAGAACAAATCTTACTGGAGGCTCATGCCACTATCTGTAGGTGCTGGTGTTTAAAGCCATTGAGTGTGGAGGAACTGATCAGCCTCCTCCCAGGGGATGTGAAACTGCAGAGTGCAGTGCTGCCTTAGAGACAGCCAGCCTAGCACTGAAGTACCTTTAGGAAAATGCTATTTAATATCCTACAGAAGCCTGGAATGGACCCTGGAAGCAGCACTGTGATTCCAGCACTGTGTGGTGCACTGGCCAGACCATGCAGCCCACAGGTCATGCTGGTTCTGGTGTCCCTGCCCAGCTGGGCATTACAGAGGCCAGTCTGTCCCTGGGGACAGACCCAGGGACATGGAGAACTCAAACTGTAGCAGCAATTAAATCAAGAGGGAACATTTGAAATAGGGACCTGCTCTCAGACTAGAGAGACACTTGAAATTTTTTGCCAGCAAGGCTGGTAGAAAATTTAGAACAGCTGGTAGAAAATTTAGAACTTTTTTAGTTGCCCAAATCTGAGTATGGCCTGTGATACTTCCACATGAGCAGTCCCTTTAATGTTCTCATCTGCAGTTCTGGCCCTGTGCCACACAAGGGCTGAGTAATTCCCCTGACTTGGCACTCAGACAGTGGATGTTAGCACCCTGCTGTCCTTTCCAGTAATCAGTCTTACAGATGCCTGCAGGGACACAGAATTCTGTTAAGTCAGAGCTGCATTTTAGTCCCACTCAGAGTGTGACTTGCAGCAGGGGATAAAAACAAAGATTGCACAAGCTGATCTTGCACCTTCCTCTGGTTTGACACTGGTACCTGGGGCAATGCTCAGGGTCATGCTTGCCCTGTGGATAGAAGGCAAGAAACTTTTCACAGCAGATGTTTTTTCTATCTGGCATTCCTGTGTATTTTATGTATTCTGGTTTATATGACTGTGTGTAAGTCTACTTCATTCATATGATGCAGATTTATTGACACACCCACAGCAGCTTTAAAAGAGGGGGAGAGGGGGTTTGCATAGTTTTGCCTAATAGAATATATTTAACTTGTTCTTGGAAATGGTGAGTTGTCCCAGATTTGAATTAAAATTATGATCATCTGGGAATGTTTAAGGCTGCAGAGTTTGGAGAGTTTACAAATGACTATAGGAATGGGATATATCTTCACTGAGCATAGGGTCTGTTGTAGGTAAAGAATGGATGCCTTTTGTGCTCTAATTAAGGTTGTTTATCTAATTCTTTTAAAGGAAAGTATCAACATCAGTCTAGACCACAGAAGCCGGATCTTCCAAAACCTAAATGGAGCATTAGGTGAGATGGAAGGAAGGAGCTCATTTCTCCTTGGAATGCAGCTTGCATGTTGACACCAGAAATAAAGTTATGGCTGAAGGGATTGTATTTCAGAAATGCTGTCCCCACAGAAAAAGCTTTACTAAAAGTCTCTGCCAGAGTTCTGGGATTTGTTTGCAATTCCATTGAGAGCAACTACGCTCTCATTGCAATTCCTTCTCCACTTCAGGGAATGCAGGTCAGGTTTTTCATCTCACACCTCCCAGCCACTTTGATCTCCAGGCATGTCAGATTGCATTAGCCTTGGGGATTGAAACTGGGAGGGACTTCAGTGCAAGTAATAACACAGAGCCCTGCCTAGGGCTCGCCTGCTTTTCTGCTTCAGAGCCATGCTGGAATGCCATGGGAGGTGAGAAGCAGCCAGATATGCCTGTGAGCACTCACTGGTTGTACCAGGCTTCTGACCTGACCTGCTCATTGATTTTGCTGGTCCTGGCAAGAGGGATTCACTTACTTTCCTATCAATGCTGCCTAATGTTTTCAGTCTTGCCCCATTCCATCTTTATTCTGGTCAAGTAAAAAGTGATAATGGCAGTGTAGTTTTTGGCTGTGCTCGTTATATCAGTGACAGACTGCAGCTTGTATCTGTGCTATCTTTTTTCCAAAGGATTTTGTATGGGGTTGTGTTGAGGCAACGTCCTCAATTATCTCTGCCAGGAGGATGGACTTTTGTGAGGGGTGACAGAGAGAGACATCAGGTGCATAGAACACTTAGGTGAGAAGGGCCTGAGTCCTCCCATCAATAGCTGTCCCTGTCATCAGTAGCTGCTCCTCACTGCCAGTTTTGAAAGAACCTTTCAGTATGGCTTCTGCCAACTCCCAGTCATTTTCCAGCTTCTCAGGCATCCTCCTGTTACTTCACAGGATCATTCTGAATATTTTTCTCCTTTAAAGATTTTGTCTGCAGCCCTTAAACTACTTGTGCACGGTTATCCATTGTCCACACTTTTCATTTTTCAGCAGTTTTCTGTATAAATGAGGCATTGTGCTTCTAATTATCAATAAAAGCCTTAACATGACGATAATGTCATTTCCAGATGAGATAGTTCTGAAGTTTGAAAATGCACGAGTGAGAGCAAGAAACTTGTTATATGACACTCTGCCTGTGGTGATCCATGGAAATGGACCCACCAAGGTAAGTGGACTGTCCTGAGAGAAAGATTTGTTCTGTGTTTGTTGCAAAGTGACCCTTTAGGCTCAATGGATCAGGTTACTGCCTCCACATAGACTGACTTTCCCTGTGTACATTTACATTTGAGAAACAATATCAGTCCAGGCCCATAGCAGCAAGATGGTTCTGGTTCAAAGACCCACATGTAGCTGGATGCTCAGTTTTTCAGATTCCTTAGTTCATGGAGAAGGTTAACAAAGTTCAAATGTGACCCCACAGTGGGGATGCACACAAAGAAACTCCCCTGCCCTGTAATGCACAATCTGGCAAACTTCCTTTTGCAGCTGCAGCTGAACTACCTGGGAAACTACATTCCTCAAGTGTGGACATTTGAGACTGGCTGCACAGTGTGTGATGAAGGTCTGCGAAGCCTCTCGGGGTTTAAGGTAAGGCTCCTGTGTTTATTCAGAGCTCTCAAAACAAGTCTTAAAATTGTTATGTGTCTGATGTTAAACCTGACTCACCACTGCTCTCCTCTTGTCCCTGAATGCAGGATGAGGCACTGCCAATGATTCTGATTGGCATTTTCATCGAGCAGCCCACCCCATTCCTCTCCCAGTTCTTCTTGCGGCTTCGTAACCTTCGTTACCCAAAGCAGCGAATCCAGCTCTTCATTCACAACCACGTAAGTGAGGTTGGCTTGTGATGGGCTTAGCAAATGTGGGGAAAATGTGCACCTCATCCTCTACTCCAGGCACTTCTGCAGCCTTGGGCTAGACTTCCAGGCTGTGTAATCACAGTTATTGTCTGCAATGGCACCCACAGGATTGTGTACTTACCTGCAGTGACACCAACCCAGCTGTAAAGGTGTGGAAATGGGTGTAAGAGCTGTTGCCCAGCTACTCATTTTGAAGGCAAGAGGCTGAGTGGCCTGGATGAGCCCATCTTATTAAGTGTTTTTCCTTACTTTTGGAATAGGAGGAGCATCACTTGATGGAGGTGGACTCCTTTGTGGAGGAGCATGGCACAGAATATCTCGCTGTCAAAGTGATCGGACCAGATGATGAGGTGGAGAATGCTGAGGCACGTAACTTGGGCATGTAAGTGAAGAGGCCATACATGATAGCTGGCAGAGACAGCCTGTGTCCAAACTAAGACATCTGTTTGTTCTCAGGATCATCCCTATCAAGTGATTGCTCTTCTTTTCTCAGTCACCCTTTCAGTTTTTCTGGCATTAACTCTGATACCCTTATATATTGGGAAAAAGCAGCTTCCATTCCAGCTCACTTTGTCCAGTTTCAGAAACTAAGCTCTCACTGGTCCTTTGTTCTGACAGAAGGATAGCCCTGTATCTCCTGCCCTCATCTATATGCCCAGTCACAGAGCACAAGGATATGCACCCATATCTCTGAAGAGGAGGAGTGCTGTAGCAAAACTAAGAGCTAGTGGGAGAGTATCTTCCTGTCTGTGATCAGGAGGTTTGAGCTCAGGTGTGGATTTGGAGCAGCTGTAAATAGGAACCTCAGTTCCTATTTACAAACCTTCAGTTTGAGCTGAAGAAACAGTTTGCTAAATGTGATTTTGGCTGTGTCTCAGTATCAGTTATTGGATACTGAATCTGATGTGCTTGTACTATGCTGGCCCTCTGGGTTGTACATTAAACCAAACTTCTCTGAGCACCCAGAAGACCTTTAGACTACAAGGTGAAGGAATTCTTGGTGCTCTGTCCTTTGTCTTCCTCTGGTTTAGGATGTGACTTTCCTTTTTCTCTGCCTGCAGGGATTTGTGCAGGAAGGATCCTGACTGTGACTATTACTTTAGCCTGGATGCTGAGGTAGTTCTGAAGAACAAAGAGACTCTGAGGATCCTGATTGAACAGAACAAGTGAGTTCTTTGGTCTGAGCAATGCTTACTGGTCATCTCACATGAGGAATTCAGTGCACATCCCTGAGATGTTTAGGGAACAAGAAGAGCTATGCCAGAGATGTTAGCCAAACACCTCTTATGGGGTTTTTTTTTTCACTGTAATTGTAATCCCTGGATTTTAGGCAGGGGATGTAAATCATCCTTAGCTTTGTTTTTATATAGTCACTAGAACAAATTGGATTCTGACAGACCTGGTGCAGAGTGTAGTCAGAGAGGAGATTGGGACCATATTTACCCTTTCTTATGGGGCATTTCATTCCAACAGAGTTAACAAAACAGCAACTCTGTAAGTGAGGGAGGAAACAGCTCTTCCAGTACTGTGGTTTGTAAACATTTTCCTTTTCTTCCTGTGGTAACATCCTGTACTGGAATTCCTTTTTCTTTTGTGCTTCCAGGCTGGTGATTGCCCCCCTGGTCAGCCGTCATGAGAAGCTGTGGTCCAATTTCTGGGGAGCCCTGAGCCCCGATGGATACTACGCCCGCTCGGAAGATTACGTGGATATTGTTCAAAGGAGGAGAGTGTGAGTGTGCAAAGAGAGCTTTTCACTGATAAAATCCCTCAAATGCAAAGCTTGCTGCAGCACATTGTCATCAAACTAATGCCCAACAACCAGAGAGTGCAAATGTCTTTGTGTATAGGAAAGGAAATCTCTGCTCCCATTTGGAAGTTGTTTTATATTCTCCCCTGAGCAGAGACAATAACATACTTGGGGCAGACTTTCTGTTGATCAGAGTAAGGGTTTGAGAGTGCTGACTGCTGAAATCATCTCATCTTACTCAAGTCAGGTTTTTCCCACCTGGGGGTTATAGTTAGTGTGATCCTTAAAATCCTGTAAAGTGCTGTTTAATCTCTGTCAAATCAATTTTCAGGTGATCTTTGAATGGAAGATTCACAAAATTGAGTTGTTGATTCATTCATATTCTTGAAGGACCCTCTTTTTTATAGGCCATGATAATTTTTTTTATTTACTGGCCTATAAAAAAGAGGGACCCTGTTTTTTTATAGACCAGTAAATGCTGGAAATCAGCTTACGCACTTTTGGCTGGTTCAGTTTCTTTAAATCACTGGAAAAAATATGTTGATCTCTCTGGGAAGAGATTCAAGCCACTAATTACATTCCTAGCAAAAACACACAGTAGCAATTAATTGCTTTCCTGGTGGACTAGCATTTGTGCAGCTTAAAAGCTGTGGGCAGTACAAGTGATTTTTTCTGGAATGCCAATCTCTATTGGTATGGTTTGGTTTCTTCCTGCTGTTCTGAGCTGGCTCATTTAGGCAAGCCGGGCTGATGCTGCAGTGCTGCCTGTCATCCTCAGTGGTATCTCACTTTTCTTCTGCTGTGTTTCAGTGGGCTCTGGAATGTTCCCTACATCAGCAGTGTTTACATGGTTAAAGGCAAGGCTCTGCGCTCGGAGCTGGAGCAGGGGGATCTGTTCCACAGTGGCAAGCTGGATGCTGACATGGCTCTGTGCCACAACATTCGCAGCCAGGTCAGTCAAGGAGAGATCCTGCCAGGGGACAGCTGCCTGCCAGGCTGAAGGGGACAGGATTGAGCAGTTTCAAGGCATTCAGCTCTGCCAGGGCAGGGGTAGGGTGAACTGGTACTAGTCAGTACAGTGCAGACTTTGGAACAGCTTGGGATTTCTGTGAAATGATGTGTAGCCATGGACCACTGAATGCAAATAACTCAAACTAGTCATTAGAGTGCAGGCTTTGGAACAGCATGGGATTTCTGTGAAATGACGTGTAGCCATGGACCACTAAATGTAAGTAACTCAAACTAGTCAGTACAGTGCAGATTTTGAAACAGCTTGGCATTTCTGTCTTGCTGTGAAACCTTGTGTAGCCATGGACCACTAAATGTAAATAATTTGTACTAGTCAGTACAGTGCAGACTTTGGAACAGCTTGGCATTTCTGTCTTGCTGTGAAACCTTGTGTAGCCATGGACCACTAAATGTAAATAATTTGTACTAGTCAGTACAGTGCAGACTTTGGAACAGCTTGGCATTTCTGTCTTGCTGTGAAACCTTGTGTAGCCATGCACCACTAAATGTGGATAACATTTTTGTTCTTAGGCCTTTTCAGGACTGCTCTAAATGGGATTGAGAGGGTAAGAAGGAAGACTCTAGTCTCACAGCTGCTGCTCTCCTGTGCTTCCAGCCCTGGCTGACAGGACACAGAATTACTGTCTCTGTCTGTAACCTTTCAGAGTTTCTCATGTGCAGGGTGGAAATAAAACTGAAAGAATGAATAAATTAACAGCTTGGAGAACTGTCCAGTGCTTGGTTTCACAGTGGCTCTCAGAAATATGAGGCCTTTATTATTTCTCTCTGTCCTGCAGGGAGTCTTTATGTACCTGACAAACCAGCATCAGTTTGGACACATACTGTCCCTGGAGAATTACCAGACAAATCACCTCCACAACGACCTCTGGCAGATATTCAGCAATCCTGAGGTGAGATAACCTGCATACTCAGAAGGCACAGCAATGTGGGAAGATCTGATATTAGCTTCATCACTATGGGAAGCCCAGGCTTTGTAATAATGGTGACTCTCAGGTGGGATGAAGAGCACAGGCACACAATTTGAAGAGAACATGTTTTTGGGATTCATAACACATGGATCTTCAAAGCCTGTGAAATACTGCTTGCATGAGTGCCTGGCCTTTTATTACCTCTTTAAGCAGGGGCCCCACAGAAATTAGTGGTTTGTTTCTCTTCTGATTGCAGGATTGGAGAGAAAAGTACATCCATGAAAACTACACAGCAGCTCTGAAAGGGAAATTGGTAGAAATGGTAAGAAAACATCATTCTTATCCATCAGAATGGGGAAATGAGCTTTAGGACAATGCTTTATCATCATTATTGTAATTCTCAGGAATAAGCAGTTGAACATAGGAACCATGACCTTGAAATACTTTTAGAGCTAAATCATTCCAGCTTTCTTAAGTAGGAATGGGGCACATAAATCAGAAGACAAATTTCTATCCTCAATATTTTAGTTTCCTTCCACTCAGTCTGCACTCATTTTAGCCCTACTTCTTTTGCCTCAAGCACCTGTCCTTGTTTCTGCTGTTCTCACCTGTCTGTTATCTGCAGCCCTGCCCAGATGTTTACTGGTTCCCCATATTCACTGACACTGCCTGTGATGAGCTGGTGGAAGAAATGGAACATTATGGCCAGTGGTCCACAGGTGACAACACGGTGAGTAAAGGCAGGAGCTCTTTTGAGTTCTGGGCTCCACCATTTTCTATGCATTTCTGGTGATAGCAGTGCCTCCTGTGGGAAGGCATTAGATCCTGAATTAAACCAGAAGAGTAGAGACAATACTTTATTTTGTTCCTGATTAATTCTGATTTTTCCCTGAGTCCTTTAGTGTCCTCTGAAGTTCCAGTGTTCAGCCTCTCTGATGGTAATATTGCTTCCCTTAAGTTGAAATGAGCTTTCCATCCTGCAAATTCTGATAAACAATCATCATATTTATTTGTAGTTACCAGGAACAAGTACTTTTCATTCCTGAATTCCAAGGTTCCCATCTTTACAGGGATTTCTGCTGATTCTATTTCAGGACAGCAGAATACAAGGAGGATATGAGAATGTCCCAACTATTGACATACACATGAACCAAATTGGCTTTGAAAGAGAATGGTATAAGTTTCTTCTGGACTATATTGCACCCATCACAGAAAAGCTGTACCCAGGATACTACACCAAGGTATGTCTGTTGTATGCAGGGCAACCCCAACAACTGGGAATGATTGGCTCCATTGATTCAGAATGCTGAACATTTGCTTTATTAAAACTGTATTATATTACATTATACTATACTATATTAAAGAGATACTATACTAAAGAGATACTAAAAGGATACTAAAGAAAAACCCGTGACTGTCTCCAGTCAGGATGCAGCTTGGACCTAATAGGCCAATCAATATAAACAATCATCACCAGAATCCAATTACCAAATCCCTTCAGGTAAACAATCTTCCTACCATGTGCAAAAACAACAGGAGCAGTGAATAAGAGATAAGAATTGTTTTCTCTTCTCCTCTCTGTGCTTCTCACTGCCTTCCCATGAAAAATCCTTGGGAAAGCTTGTGCCTGCTGCTCTCTGTAAAGAGAGCTGAGGCCACAGTGTGTCCACCTTAACAGCAAAACTCATGGTGAGCTCAGCACCTCCTCCAGCTGCAGTTTTGTGACAAGAATGCTCCAGCAATACACACACCATTTCCCAGCACAGAGGAATTGACCCTGCAGTGTGACCCAAGTATGTGTATTAGGAGATAGGCAAAAATCAGGCAGAAGAATGTCATTGAGAAATTGCCTTTCTCCTTTAGCAGTGGGATGCAATTTCAGTGTCAGCCCCTGCTCTGCAGCTCAGAAGCCACAGAGCCCTGTAGCCCTCTAACACAGTGCTCTTTGTCCTTCTCTCTCAGACCCAGTTTGAGCTGGCCTTTGTGGTTCGCTACAAGCCTGACGAGCAGCCGTCCCTGGTGCCCCACCACGACGCCTCCACCTTCACCATCAACATTGCCTTGAACAGAGTGGGCATAGACTACGAGGTGAGTGCCTGCCAGGGCTTCAGGAGTGCAGCACAGCACCTGGAGCAGCTGAAAACCCTGCCCTGACCCACATCAGGCTTCTTTGTACTAAGAATTACAATTAATGGCTGTAAGAATTCATGGGGGCTGTTTGGATCCAATCCAGCTTGCTATGGACCCCAGCCCACACGAGAAGTGCTCTTCTCCACGTGGGGACAAAGTGCTAATTTTATTTCCTTGATAGGAGACACCAGATCATCCAGGTGACCCCCCCCAGGTGGGAAAAAGAGGGTGATGCCTCATGGCAGGAGACGTCTAATCCCGGGGGAATGGGCAGTGGAGGAAGAGGAATATAGTGGGTATTTTTGCCCCTGACAAGGGGAGAGAATGATGCATCTGACTATTTTATCAGAAGGCTAATTAATTACTTTATTATACTCTATTATTCTATATTATATTACACTATATTACATTACATCTAAACTGAATCTGCCAAGCACTCCACTGCACAGAATCTCGTGACTGTCAGTGGCAGTCCTGACACACACACCCACACCTGGCCCTGATAGGCCAAGGAAACAAAACACCATCACTTTGGGTAAACAATCTCCACATTGTATTCTACTTTGGCACAAACACAGGCACAGCAAGTGATAAGAATTGTGTTTTCTTTCTCTGAGGTTCAGAGAATGTGAAACCCAGAAATAATCTTGGGAAGAATTGTGCCTTGCTTTTCTCTGTGAAAAGAAATGTGGCAACATTTGAATGCATCAGAATATGGGAGATTCCTCAAACACCTTGTCACACTTTCAGAAGTGCTGTGATGTCACATTCACATTCTCTGAAAAATCCCTTTGCCCAGGATTTTTCTTCTGGGAAGCTGAGAAGCCTCAGAGGAAAATGAAAACAATAATTATCTCATTTGCTTCTCCTCTGTTTTGCTCATTTGGAATGTGTTTGGAGATTGTTCACCCACAGGTGATTGTTTCATTGGATTCTGCTGTGAGTTGTTTTCACTCTTTGGCCAATCGGGGCCAAGCTGTGTCAGGACTCTGGAAAGAGTCACCAGTTTTCATTATTATCTTTTTAGCATTCTGTAAGTATCCTCTCTGTATTCTTTAGTATAGTATAGTATTCTTTAATATAATATAGTATGATAAAATAATAAATTAACCTTCTGAGAACATGGAGTCAGAGTCATCATTCCTTCCTCTGTCTGCGGGGAACACAAATGTTGTAATTCAGGACATCCCTCTGGGTGTCCTAGTTTGCCAAGACCCCTGCCAAAGAGCTCAGAGACCCTGGCACAGAGCTCAAAATGCCTGTGTGTTTGATTATAACCCATGAAGCAAATTACCAACCTTATATAAAGATCTGCAAGCCATGACATTTTAAGTAGAATGATAGTGAATTTATCATGGAGTGAAAAATAGATTTTTGAAGTTTTTAGCATGGAGGTTCAGGGAGCAAGATAGAAGAATCTGGGCGTGTCCAGCCTTTCTCCTTCTTCTTCTTGGCCTCCATCTTCTGCTGTGATGTTGGCATTTTTAGATTGGTTTAGAGTAGAAGCTCACTGTCTAACATAAGTGATAGGTATTAGAAAGTAATTATAAATATTGTACACATAGTTTTTAGTATAAAGACATAACACTGCCCTGGGGCAGGCAGAGTGCCTCTGACTGTCCTGCTGAACAGACCTCGGCAGGTCAGGAGAAAGAATTTTACAGATAAGAAACAATGAACAACCTTGAGACCGAGAACTGAAGAGCCCTGACTCCTCCTTCGACCGCCAGACTGAGAAAAGAGACTTTCCAACACATCCCGGGGTCACTCTGAGCAGCTGAAGTCCCAAAACACAAATACAGCACTGTCAGAAGGCAGGGACCCCTTCCCTGAGGCACTTTTTCCAAGCTGATGTGTATCTGGTGTCCCACCAGGGAGGAGGCTGATGTGTCTCTGGTGGAGGCTGATGTGTCTCTGGTGCCCCACCAGGAAGGAGGCTGAGTGTCTCTGGTAGAGGTTCATGTGTCCCTTGTGTCCCCCCAGGGAGGACTCTGAGTGTCTCTGGTGGAGGCTGATGTGTCTCTGGTGTTCCACCAGGGAGGACGCTGATGTGTCTCTGGTGGAAGCTGATGTGTCTCTGCTGGAGGTTCATGTGTCCCTTGTGTCCCTCCAGGGAGGACACTGATTTGTCTCTGGTGGAGGCTGATGTGTCCCTTGTGGAGGCTGATGTGTCTCTGCTGGAGGTTCATGTGTCCCTTGTGTGCCCCCAGGAAGGAGGCTGATGTGTCTCTGCTGGAGGTTCATGTGTCCCTTGTGTCCCCGCAGGGAGGACACTGAGTGTCTCTGCTGGAGGTTCATGTGTCCCTTGTGTCCCCTCATGGAGGACGCTGAATGTCTCTGGTTCAGCTTCATGTGTCCCTTGTGTCCCCTCATGGAGGACGCTGAGTGTCTCTGCTGGAGGTTCATGTGTCCCTTGTGTCCCCCCATGGAGGACACTGAGTGTCTCTGCTGGAGGTTCATGTGTCCCTTGTGTCCCCCCAGGGAGGACGCTGAGTGTCCCTTGTGGAGGTTCATGTGTCCCTTGTGTCCCCTCATGGAGGACGCTGAATGTCTCTGGTTCAGGTTCATGTGTCCCTTGTGTCCCCTCATGGAGGACACTGAGTGTCCCTTGTGGAGGTTCATGTGTCCCTTGTGTCCCCCCAGGGCGGAGGCTGCCGGTTCCTGCGCTACAACTGCTCCATCCGAGCCCCGAGGAAGGGCTGGACCCTGATGCACCCCGGCCGCCTGACCCACTACCACGAGGGGCTGCCCACCACCAGGGGAACGCGCTACATCGCCGTGTCCTTCATCGACCCCTAGAGCTCTGCTCCCCGGGGAGGAGAGGCCCTTTCCCTGCTGACTTGGAGTAGAAACAGGGAATGTTGCTGAGAGTTTCTGAGGCATTGTTCAGAGATATGTGGATTTGATTTTTATATGATTTTTAATGTGATTTTTATTGATATTTAAAGACTCCACTGCTGGAGGACTTCACTCTCTGACACTGCAGGTAATATCTAGGAATATTGCTGTAGAAGTCCAAAGGAGATTTTGTGCCTTCATTTTTGATTCTGCTCCTCATCCACTGTTTCTTGAAAGTGCTGTTTACTTGAACTTTCATCAGTGATTCATTGGCTTTAAAAAATGGTTTTTTGGAATGGAAATCCAGCTTTTAGGAGGCAAGTTACAAGCTGGAAGCCTGTTTTCATCCACAGCATATACGGGACTGGATGGTACACAATAATTTCTGGACATTATTCCAAATATAAACCAATCAGGGAGCTGACTCCAGGAGTCATAACAGTTGTCACACCAAATGAAGCTGAGTTGGAAGAGCCTGAAGATCATCTGATTCTTTACCTCTTTGCTGTCTTTGCAAGCAAATCACAAAATTCAAAGCAGCAGCAGTGGTAACATAGGTGCTCTGGTTAGCTAAGGGAAGGTCCTCTGATGGTGCTTTACCTCTGGGATTGGACTGAAGAGATAAAAAACCTCCCTCCCTACCTTCTGTTTCTCCAGCTAAGAGCAGCAGGCATACCCACACAAATTCATGCCATGTCAATATGTAGATTAAATCTAAGAAAGGGAAGGCTGGGAACAGCTCCATCAGTCAGGGGGGCTTCTCTCAGAATTGTCTGTTCTATCCCATGTTACAATAGCCAAAAGCTCTGATCAATCTCTGGATAACAACCCAGAGGTCCCAGTGGTCTTTGGTGGCCTCGTTCCATTTGTCAGAGATTGTTTTAATCATTTTCTTTGATGGCCCATTCACATTAGATGGAAAGAGCTGTTCTCTGGTTCTTAGAGGAAATAATTATTCAGTGTTTTTATTGTTTGAGATTGTAAACCAAAACACTCCATTGCAGAAACTTCTCCAATGGGGTCAAAGCTGATAGAAATGAGTGGTTGGGAAGTGCTGAGAGATTGGGGTGAGCCAGTAGTTATAAAAATATATCCAGACTAGACCTGTGGTTAGAGAGTGAAGGGGCAGAAACCTTTTCTGCCTGTGCCTGTGGGATACCTGCTCTGCTTATCAGACACCATTATGCCAGAATAGTGTGTTTCACAAGCAATAAATTCATAGAGTGATTGTCTTAGGGGGAAAAAATAATTATGTGCCTTTTAGTTGTGTGTCTCCAGCTTCTGCTGCCTGATTGTCAGAGTAGAGCCTTTCTTCTGGGACGGGTCACTCTAATGGGGCAGAACAGCTTCAGACATGGAAGGGGACAGGCAGCTTTCCCAACTGCTTTCCTTGAGCTTTTTAGGTCTATTTTGAGGCCATACACTCACCCGTGCCCAGGAGAGAAAAATCCAGGCAGGGGCAAGCATTTGAGAAGTAAAACTGTACTTAAAGTCGTGTTATGTGAAATGCAGAACTGTTAAATGCCTGTTACCAAACGAAGGGATTCATCAGCAAGTCAGAGATGTCCAAAATGTGTATTATGTATTTATTCAGCAGCAGGTTTTTTGGTTTGGGGTTTTTTTTTTTTGGTAGGTTTTTGTTTGTTTGTTTGTTTTTGGTTTTGTTACTGGTTTTGGTTTTCTGGGGTTTTTTGGGGGGGTGGGGTTTTTTTTGTTTTTTTGTTTTTTTTGTTTTGGGGTAGGTTTTTTGGTTGGTTGGTTTTTGTGGGTTTTTTCTTTCGGTTTTTTTGGGTTTTTTTTGGTTTTTGGAAATTTTTTTCAGTGTTTTGGGGTTTTTTATGTTTTGTTTGGGGTTTTTTTTTTTTTTGTTGTTGTTTTTTGTTTTATTTTTATTTGAGGGGGGATTGTTTTTTGGTGGGGTTTTGTTGTTTTTTGGGGTTTTTTGGGGTTTTTTGATTTTGTTTTGGGTTTTTTTTTGTTTGGGTTTTTTTGTTATTTTGTTGTGTGTTTCCTCGGGCCGGTTCGGTGGTGGCGTTAACGAGCTGTACGGTTTGAGCACGGGGAACTCGCATTAAACCTTTCCCGTGACCCTTTCCCGGTCTGTGGGCTCTGTTCCTCTACTGGGCCCGGGCCGCCGCCCGCCGTCAGGCCCGGGAACTACAACTCCCAGCGTGCCCCGCGCGCGGCGCCCGGCGCCCGGCGATGACGCACACACTACGCACCTCCCGGGCGACGGCGCCGCGGGGTGACATGGCGGCTGTGCGGGAGCGGCGGTGAAGGTGAGCCACGGGCGGGGCCGGCCCGAGGGGACCTTGGCAGCTGCTCCAGGCCGGCTCAGTGTCTCTGAGGGTCGCCTCCGGAGCAGCAGGTATAGGGACAGGGACAAGGGCAGGGACGGGTGAGTGTCGGACCCGCTGGGGCAGGGTCCTGAGGGGGCGTGAGGAGGGCGCTTCCCGCCCTTTCCTCCCGCCCCTGAGGGCTGAGGGAATGCGGCGTCCGGCCGGGGCGTCAACCCAAGGCGTTCTGTGGGCACTGGGATGGCGGGGGAGTAGGGCCCAGAGCATCCCTGAGGCACACCGGGATGGCGGGGGAGCAGGGCCCAGAGCATCCCTGAAGCACACCGGGATGGCGGGGGAGCAGGGCCCAGAGCATCCTTGAGGCACACCGGGATGGCGGGGGAGCAGGGCCCAGAGCATCCCTGAAGCACACCGGGATGGCGGGGGAGCAGGGCCCAGAGCATCCTTGAGGCACACCGGGATGGCGGGGGAGCAGGGCCCAGAGCATCCCTGAGGCACACCGGGATGGTGAGGGAACAGCCGGGGGCATTCTCCGGGCACACAGGGCTGGCGGGGGAGCAGAGCCGGGGACATTGTCCAGGCACACAGGACTGGCAGGGGAACAGAACCAGGGACATTGTCCAGGCACACAGGGCTGGCGGGGGAGCAGAACCAGGGACATTGTCCAGGCACACAGGGCTGGCGGGGGAGCAGAGCTGGGGACGCTCTCTGGGCACACCGGGATGGCGGGGGAGCGGAGCCCAGAGCATCCCTGAGGCACACCAGGATGGTGAGGGAATGGAGCCGGGGGCATTCTCCGGGCACACAGGGATGGCTGGGGAGCAGAGCCGGGGACATTCTCCGGGTACACCGGAGCAGAGCCCGTGACGGCGGAGCTCGGTGGCCTCTGTCCGTCATCCACAGTCACTCTGCCACAGGGGTGGAGACCGGCTGGACTCGGCGTCGCCGAAGGAGCTGCGGGACCGAGTGCGGCCGGGGCGAGGGAGAAGGCAGGGAAAACTGCTGCCGTTTGTTCTCGAGAGGGCCTCAAGCTGGCCATGCGTGACTTGTGAAAACGTAACTCATCCTGAAAGTAAGCAGAGGATGGGGAGGAGGAGTGATCACTGCGAGCCTGATTATTGGAAGGGAGAAAGAAAGAGTTTTGGGGTTTTTTTTCCTGATAAAGTGGAACAATTTCTTTATGAAAGACAGAAGATAGTCCTTAAAATGCATATTTATCTAGTTCTTGTAAAGATGCTCGGTTGGATCACAGAGTCATGGAATGGTTTGGGTTGGGAGGGACCTTAAAGATTATCCAGTTTCACCCCTGCTATGGGCAGGGACACATTCTGCCAGACAAGGTGGATCAAGTCCTGTCCAACCTGGCCTTGAGCACTTCCAGGGATGGGGCAGCCACAGTTTCTCTGTGAAACCTCTGCCAGGGCCTCACCATCCTCACAGGGAGGAATTTCTTCCCAATATCCCACCTAACCCTGCCCTGTGTAGGTGGAAAGCCTTTCCCCCTTGTCCTGTCACTGCACCCCTTGGACAGGTGGTGACACTTGGTGACACTGCTCTTTGCTGGATTTTTCCTGTAGCGCAATGTCCCTGCTGTTTACTCGTTCCAACTCAATAGTTGCAGTGAAGAAGGATAAAAGACACATGGCTGAGGTAAATGCTTCTCCACTTAAACATTTTGTCACTGCAAAGAAGAAAATCAATGGTATCTTTGAACAGTTGGCTGCATACATCAACGAGAGCTCCTCGTTCCTAGAAGGTAATTTGAGTTCTTGGACTGTGAGTGTGGAACAGTGCTCTACCTACATATGATTCCCCCAAAACACACATCACCCCCTCAGTCAGTTAAACAGAACTGCTAAATCTGTGTTTATTTATACATGCATGTCTGTTTATGCATTCATGTTTGTAAGAAAAAATGAAAATTGTTGAATTTGGGTGGAGTTCAGGTTCATATTTGAAGATGAGGAGTTCATGCATGTTAAGAAACTGAGCTAGTTAGGGAGCTATGCTTGGTTTTTATGTTTGGGAGATTTTTAATTAATTACACAACCCCAGTAGGTATTTTTTGCCTGTAATCCTTTCACTATTCTTGCCTGGACACATCTTTGCTACTGACATGTAACATGCACCAGTAATTGGCTTTAACAGCTTAAGGCACAGACAGATTTTATCTCTGAGGGTGCTGGCCTGTTTGCAGTGTTGGCTGTTGTGTTCAAGGCAGTCCCAAGAATGAACAGTTATGAGATACAAAAGAGTCCATTTGATAAATCCTGTTGTAAAATTGCTTCAGGGTGTCATTGCCTATGTCAAGAACACCCATGCAAGCTGTGGGACACAGATAAATGTTAAGTGATACCATGGCAGAGAGAGGTTTCACCCAGGTCTGACCCAGATGGCTTCTGGCATTCAGAGACATGATCTATTTTGATTTTAGAAACACACAAGAATGCAGAGCTTGATCCTGTCACCACAGAAGAGCAGGTACTGGAAGTCAAAGGCTACCTGTCAAAAGTCAGTGGTATTAGTGAAGTGTTGGCAAGACGACACATGAAAGTTGCTTTTTTTGGGAGGTGAGTCACATGCTTGTATTGCCTATGCTGCCCATTCAGGAAAGCATTTGAGTATTGTAGCCAGTAAAAAATATTTATATAAACACTATGCTTTAGCTTTTGCTTGTAATGTCCCTGATACAGGTGCTCTTGTAAATTGGAAACAAGTATTGTATCACATAATTCTTCAATTTGAAGAATTCTTTAAATAGGGAAATAAAAAAGTCTTTTTGCAGGTTGCCTCTGGCACCTAAATTGTTCATGGCTCTGATACAGCTCGGCTGTAGAGAACTTGCTTCTGTAACATCAAAATGAGCACACCTAGCTCTTGAAAGCCTGAAACACTGTCCTTAATCTGACTGCAGGACAAGCAATGGGAAGAGCACTGTGATAAATGCCATGCTGTGGGACAAGGTTCTCCCTTCAGGAATTGGACACACCACTAATTGCTTCCTGCGTGTAGAAGGGACAGATGGACACGAGGCTTTCCTGCTGACTGAAGGTTCAGAGGAGAAGAAGAGTGTAAAGGTACCATTTCCTTAAACATAAGGTTAAGGATAAGAGCTCTTCAGAAAGGTCAGAAAAGGAAAGAAAAAAAAAATTCACAGTTAAGGATTTT